TTCAGTAGTTCACCAAACCAATCAAGTTATTAATTTCAGAGCGATTTAAATCAAAACTTACAGTTAATTGAAAATTCGTTATGATTTTAGGGCTAAGCTAAAGTGTTTTTAGACAAATTAACTATCAACTTCCATGAATACCTAGAACCTAACTAGAGTTAATTAAACTAGAGTTTCCAAATATTTGTCTATAAAATATTTTGTGTGTTCAATAATTTTACGTCGAAATTCATATTCTATTTGACGTCGGCCGTTTGGTGTAGTGGTTCAGAACGGACTACTATGCCGAGAGGTACCGGGTTCGATTCCCGGCCGGGCAGAAATTGAAATGATGAATTTTAATTTCTGTGACGGGTCTGGGTGTTACTATGTATAATATGTATGTATTTAAAAAAAAAAGTATATAAGTAGTATATCCGTTAAGCTAGCACCCATAACACAAGCATTAAGTTGCTTACTTTGGGGCTAGCTGGCGCTGTGTGAAATTGTCCAAAGATTTATTTATTTATTTATTTATTTATTTATTTAGTTTCGATCTCAACTTCACAACGAAACCCTAAAACTGTTGTAACAGTTAACGGTAAAATTTTAACGTTATTTACGTTAATGTTACGTTATTAACGCGTAACGTTTGCGAGCGTGATTCGGCACAGTTTCCGTAATTGCTTCCGTGTAAATAATAAGTCAAACTGTATTTATGTAAATAAGGTTTATAATTAGTTTTCCGACTGCAAACATAAGTTTGTTGCGAAGTTATTTATCAAAGTAACACTAACACCACAATCGAGTACACCACAGTGTATCCATTTTTCATTTTTGTAATCTACCTAGTATTTATATCGCTTTTTCATTTTATCAGCACCCACAGAATTATTTATTTTATTTTATTTGGATAACATACAAACAATTACCTTTGTTTAAGAAAGTCCATTGCTGACGTACCTCTTCCAATACTACTTGTCGCAGCCAAGTTCTGACAGGGACAAGTTCGAGACTGAAATAATCTACGAATTAATTGTTGTGCCGTCGTAAATACCATTCAGCTATTTCAGACGCCTATTGCGAATCATAGAGTCAATAATTTAGGGGTAATTCAACTAGGTATATTATAAAACGAGCAGTTTCTGAGCTTTTTCCAGTTGTGGCAACGTAAAGGTGATACAACCCGGCTATTAATTAGATTGTATTTAATTGGAAGGTTTCCTTTCCGCGAATCTCCTTTGATTACATCTTCTTAGTATTTCACTATCTTAACCTAGATTTTATTTATATCGTGTTCTAGTTTCTTAAAGCCAAATGACTGTGTCATGTCGGTATCATTGAGTTATAATGTACTGTCGCGTCGGTATAAACGGGATTTTTTGCAGTCGACGTCACATCAAACTATAGTTCCAAAATACTGAACTGTCCTATGCATGACATTGACAGTGGGGCGCCACCGTCAATACCGGATCGCTGGTTCCGATTTTTGCCATGTTGGAAACCATATAGTTGAACGATGGTAGCGCCCCCCTGTCATTGAGTTTGGTTGGACAGTTCAGCGTGGGTCATCTATAAAATTATTTTAGGTCTAGCGCTTCATGGCAGAGTGTTTTTGGGACGTCAATCGTCAGCGAAACTTCTTCTTCTTCTTTTTTGATGATGTTGGCAATACACGTCGAGGTCGACTTGATTTGTGCCATTTTCAAGTATTTATGTGATATGAGTTACAAAATGAGATCAAGTCTTGATATAATGAAGGATGATAGATGATACCCCTTCCCACCCTTTGAGTCTTAGTAAAGTTGTAGTGCTTTACTGAGACCTCCTATGGACAACTTGAGAGAACCAGAAGAATCACGATGCACTGCTTTGCTTCACTTGCCCACACTCATGCACGTTCACAAACACTCAATGGTTAATAATCCACCATCATTACACGTTAATAGTCGCCCAAACACGAATTTGAGGAAATAAAACAAAACCGCAAACATGACGCTTCAGATTCCCGCCAAGAAGTCCAGCGAAACTTCAAATGTGCTTCAGCCGCCCTAGACAAAACGCACTTTTTGATCGAATCGAAAATCGAATCCGTCAAAACTCCTTACAAAAAAGGGGCTTTTCGACCACTTTTCGACTGGTTTTGCGATTATAATTTGTCTAGACCCACAGATTTGTGTGCTCTGTCACGTCATAATATATTATGTCAAAATCACCATCACGTGAAGCTAACTCGATCACCCAACTATGTTCGGATTCGTGTATAGAAATCACGCTCAAAAATTAATTTAATTTTAAAGTCTAGACCTGTCTAGTTTTCAATCAAGTTTTGAAATAAGTTTCTAAACTTACCCAGAACAAGATTAACAAATTGGCCTTGTTTTAATATTAATTTAACTTTAATGTTAAATTTGCCGTTAATAATCCATTCGGGTAGTTAATCATGAAATTTCTAGGAAAGACCAAAGCAATTTTCATATTTATAACTTCTGAAAGAAGCACTAACTCATTGATTTTGTAAGAAACTCCATTCAATAAAGGACGTAGCACATTTATCAACCCGGAAAGGGATCGTAACCGTATCAACACGAGGCCACACGAGGCGGTCAGTATTCTTTGTATGAAACTCCATACTGCAACGCACACTTCCGCACCGTAACGTAAACGTCTCGCATTGCGGTTGACAGCGCGCGAAAGGCAATGACAGCTCGCGAAATGCAATATGATGACCCACGCTGAACTGTCCCACCAAACTCAATGACAGGGGGGCGCTACCATCGTTCAACTATATGGTTTCCAACATGGCAAAAATCGGAACCAGCGATCCGGTATTGACGGTGGCGCCCCACTGTCAATGTCATCGATAGGACAGTCCAGTATTTTGGAACATACGGACCGTATTGCATTTCGCGAGCTGTCATTGCCTATTATACCGTATTATACGGTGTTGATTCTATTAAGGTTTTAAACAGACAAGTTGATCCTTCGATCTCCGTCCTCCTGCATGTTCTTACCTTTACTATTCCTGCTATTACATACAAAGCTGAAAGCTTTTCTGTAATTACTTAATTAAATGGAATTCCATTCCCAGACTGCTTCGTAGAACCGCTATACTCCACGATTCCCTAGACTAAATTCACCGCAATTTGTAAAACCACATTGCCTTAGCAACCGGACTGACCCGAAATAATCTCAGCAAAATAATCTTAACCACCTGAATTTTAACTGAAAACAGTATTTAAGAAGGGTCAGTAAGCTCTATTCTTCCTAAAGAAGAGCCTTAGCTTTGCCGACGATGTTGTGGTCATGGCAGAATCGCTGGAAGATCTTGGCACAATGCTCGAAGACTTTAATCGTGTTTCCCAACAGGTAGGCCTGAGTTAACTATCTTGCTTAACACATTGAACGCCAACGCGGTCAATGTTGTCCGACACTGCACTTTCCTACCAGGCCAAGTAAAAATTTCAATTTTTTTCAATTTTCGTCGATTGTTTTTTTTTGTTAAATCGTTACATTATAAACATAAATAAAGGATTTTATTAACATATAGTTGTTTTTGAGTCTCTACATCGAATTATTAAGCGTCGGACATCATTGACCCCCATGGCCCCAGCGAGCGAAAATTCGAAAATCTGTTCCGTAGGGCCGCGCGGTCATGTTGTCGACCATCCCCGCTCGCATCCAAAAAAAAAAANATTTTTTTTCTAAGTCCGAGCTTTACCTGAGAACCAAGTGACGTACACTAATCTTGGGAGCCGCGCGGGTCAGCTTATATGAGAATTATTGAAGAAATGCTGTCCATCGGCTCAATACAGAGGTTTAAACATAGGTCTGACTCGCGGTCATCATTGTCCGACGCGGCCCGAACGGAAAGTTAAAGTGTCGCCCATCATTGTCCCCCATGGCCCGAACGGAACAGTGCCATTTTTAGGCTGGCAGCGAAGGTGTTAAATTAAACAACACATACAAGATTAACACAATCAACACATTTGCTTGGAAAAATAGCTGAAACACTATAAACACTTTCTTTGCGCGACCTATAACTTATTTTTGACATTCATCTGTAAAAAATGGCACCCTTTCACAGATTATACAGAGTTACTCACTGACACTACTCCTATAGTTCCAAAATACTGGACTGTCCTGTCGATGACATTGACAGTGGGGCGCCACCGTCAATACCGGATCGCTGTTTCAGATTTTTGCCATGTTCGAAACCATATAGTTGAACGATGGTAGCGCCCCCCTGTCATTGAGTTTGGCGGGACAGTTCAGCGTGGGTCATCTATACGCAGAATCTACAGCTCAACCTTCAATTAGAAACACCAGTCCTAAAAAATGGTGTCAACGAAATTGATCAGAACAAAAAAAGAAGAAAAGATGTTTGAAGGTGAATCCATCAAATATCTTAGATCTACTGAATTATATGTCTATTGTGGTGCACCTTTAGAACCTGCAGATTAGTTATATTAAAATCTTCAAAGCTGGGGAGTGTTTGAACATTCTCTTTCAAGAGGAAAATCTAAAACGCTTCCAATTCTCCATTTTGTTCTTTTGCTAGAACATATTTATTTCTATTGGTACATTTTAACACGAACACTTGTCCTAGTTCTTGTCTATAACAGAAAAAATATTGATTAAAACAGATTCATAATATTTTAAGTTACGTAAAGTCGATCATAGTTAATTTGTTAGTAGGTACTTATTTCTCAGCCAAATGACGTCCACTGCTGGACAAAGGCACGGAAAGGCCTCCTCCAAGGTCTTCCACAATGTTCCACAGTAAGTTCCACAACAAGTTCGTTCGCTCGTTCGACGAACAAACGAACGAACTTATTTCTACTACTGCTTGTTGAATGTTTCAAAAGGTTTCAAATAAATAACTACATTCCTTGAAAATATTTTATCATTTTTATCAATTAAGATACTCAAAACTAAAACCTTTTTTTTTAATATTGCTTTTAAACATGTCAAATTAGCTGTCTTGTCAATAAAAACGTCAAATGCATTTGTCAAAAACTGCATCATTTACAGCAAGGTTTATTTGAAATATTTCACTAAACATACAAACAAATGGTACGCATCTTTTGATGGATGACAAAGATAAACCTGATACGAAAGATACAGAAGATCTGACGAATACAGTAAATGTTAACAAAGATGTGAAGCCAAATAACAATACCAACCAAAATGATGCAGGACCGTCATCCTTGCCTCTTCCAGGAGCTACAGAAAACATCAAAATCAATCTACAAATTACACCTGGACTATCTAAATCCGAACACAGTATATGCCACATTATCACTACCAAAGATGTAGCAAATGCTCTAAGATCTCTAAACATTAGTGCAAATCCTGTCCTTAAAACCAATATAAATGAGCTCAAAATCCCGATTTTCGACAAAGATGACAAAGAAGAAGCTGATCCGACGACGTTTGTTGATTTGAAGAAATTCATGGCGTCTTGTTTTAAAATTAATAAAGAAACTCATAGTGGCATTATTCTTGGTGACATACAAAATGTTGCAGCCCCTGTTATTACTGGTGAAGTGATACAAGAAGTTCCAAATACAAGTTGCAATACTGCTCCAATTAAACCAAATGAGGTTGTGGTAACATCTGGGGTAGAGCAAAAAGTGTCTAAAGTGGGTTCAGACAAGAAAAAGACTTCAGGGAATTTGTCAGAAAGATCTACAGAAAGGGAATTCCCGGTTGCGCAAAGGGACTCGCTTTCGAGTATCGGATCTAACGTTTGTAGAATCTGCATGACTAGAGGAAGGGAAAGGTCAGGTTTATATTGTACACCTTTTTGATTGGATTGAATCGGCATCATTTAGAGTATCTTTTAGGGGAGGGTTCATTTTGGGGGAAACTTTCACGTTAGTACAACAATACTCAGTCCTATTTTGGAGTTTATGCTAAATTCTTCACAAGGTAGACAGACGACCTCATAAAGGTATCAAAGGAAGGCGCTGGATGCAGGCCGCTACCGACCGGACAATCTTGAAATTATTGTTGGAGGCCTATGTTCAGCAGTGGATATCTTGTAGCTGAAATAATGATGATGATGATGGTATGATTGCAGATTGATATCGCCGTGTAACTGCAAGGGATCATTGGCGAATGTCCACCTGAGTTGCTTGGAGCGGTGGCTGAACCAAGTGGGCAGGAATCACTGTGAGCTGTGTGGTTACAGGTATGTGGAGTTCCATTCCAATAGTTAGATAATATTCCAGTGCAATGTTCATGTGTTTTAAGAGCGCTTTCACATAATAATATAGGCGTTTTTGTCGCGCGACTGTAGCGCTTCTAAGTCGCGCTGCAGTAGCGCGACTCGTATCCATACATAATACAGTTACGTGACAAAAACGCTTTTATTATGTGAAAGCGCTCTAAAAAAAGATGTGGCGGATTGCCGATCCTAGTCATTAAAGTTTTGATTTCTATAAATGACACAAAACCAGGAATGCGTTTCTTAATGTATGCAGTGGCCTCATCACAACCCCAGAAAAAAAATGTTGAACTTCTTGATTCAAATTGTAAATCGTAAATTAATTTGGAGAAAAAATTTTCTTGATATGAGAATTGTTAGTCCCATTCCAAAAGTTGTACTTGAGCATCAAATCGAACGGGGTGCACAGCTAATCTGCAAATCAAGTTATCGACCATTGAATCGGCTGATTTGCAGGTACTTCATAGTATTCTAGTTTTATTCTAGTCCAGTCTAAAACTAGACCAAACTCCTTAATCGCGACAACATCGAGCGCTCGATTACTTCCACTCGATATCGCTCCAAAAAGCGTATTTAATCGATAGTCGAGCGGTGGCGATTGTTAAAACTTCGCCGCTCGGAGCGACAGAGCCAGGTGGACGCGGTTTAGGTGGATGGAAGAGACATTGTTTGGAGGATTTAAGATAGCAGTTGCTCTACATTTTGATACAAAATAGTACCTATTACAACCGAATAAGATACGTACGCCCGTATTCAAAAACGATGCTTGCTTAAGTGAAGCAGCAAATCGAACGCACAGCGTTGAATAGAGCTCTGTGATTGGTTCGTGTGTCACCCTGGGCGTCCACCCGCACTGTGAGACCTCATAGTAATGTTTGCGAATACGGGCGTCAATTTCTTGATTACATGACTACGCCACCGTGGTTGATCTCTCTCGGCATAGAGGCTCTTAGTAGCACAAGCATATTCAAAGTGGACTAACGAGTGCTGATATTCCATCATCATCATCATCATCATCAGGTCATTTGAGGAGCAAAACCCCCTTTAATTTGCCAGAGTTTTGGCAACACTCAGTCGCGGGGCTCAGACTCTGAACGTTACGTCGCTGAGTGTTGCCAACCAGAGACAAATGGAGAATTTTGCCTACTACCCGTTCACGCTAAGTTTGCCTGTCCGTGGAATGTGCGTCTCCTCCCCCAACCGCGATTAAACGCAATTAGTTAGCGATTAAACGGAATTATGTGTCTTATTTTACGCAAATACACATTTTTTTTTTTCAATATTAATAAATAAAAATTATTTTAAATATAGTTTGTTATAGTTATAGACGCTTCCCTTCGAGTTACGTCATATCGCCAGCGGAAAACGTAAATCCAACGGATAGTACACTCCCCACGTTAGTCAGACTAAAGAGGCCTGATATTCATAAACTTGTCCGTTAATCGCCTTATATGACATCCACGGAAGAGTTGAGTGATCCTATCTACTCTGCCAAAACCATGTGGCCTAATAATAAATTCTCCTGTTAAAAATAATAATTGGATGTTCAATTAAACCGACATCTTCGTTCAGCTCAATGGTAACAACTAATTGCGGCCACTGAAGGACAGATCAGGCCTGGACGAGCAGTTCCTGAAACTTCGCGAGTGCCTCTTCGGTGTGCTATAAAATATTTTGGTATAGTCCGCACCGGTAGACAGTTATAGATCGTTTCATCCACGAAGACGCGCCCCACCATTCTTCCACTAATATTTGAGTGTTATCGGTACACGCTAAATCATCCATGAGTGCACACGCACACTACAATAATGACGCTTGGATTGCTCGGATCACACTCGCTGCATCCCGTGCTGACCTCGACCAAAAATTAGTGGGGCGCGTCTTCGTGGATGAAACGATCTTTGAAGCACATCGAACTTTTCATTTTTGTTTCCAAGTCACACTTATTACAACTAGGTACTTAGGATTCTAAGTTTCATGTCCCGTAGTCTGTATCTTTCTTTCAAAATTAAACATCATCATCATTTCTGCCACAGGACGTCCACTGCTGAACATAGGCCTCCCCGAATGATTTCCATATTGATCGCTTGGTAGCGGCCTGCATCCAGCGCCTTCCTGCTACCTTTATTAGGTCGTCGGTCCACCTTGTCCACGCCTAAAGTTTGTGCACCTACTATACTGCTGGCATTTTATCTTAGACTTAAATTATGTTTTTTAAGCATCAAATCAATATTTTCCCATCATAATTAAAACTAAGTAACCTACTCATGCATAAAATTCAAAATCCTCTGATACAACCATAATGATTTTACTCCGCCCTCGCAAATTAAGTTAAAAAGTATTCATTATTCAGTCAACATTTTCTTATATTTCCAAAAGAACCGTACATTTTTAGGGTTCCGTACCCAACGGGTAAAAACGGGACCCTTTACTAAGACTCTACTGTCTGTCTGTCACCAGGCTGTATCTTATGAACCGTGATAGCTAGAAGGTTGAAATTTTCACAGATGATGTATTTCTGTTACCGTTATAACAACAAATACTGAAAACAGATTGAAATAAATATTTAATTGGGTCTCCCAGTGGGAATAAAACAAACTTGATTTTTTTGCCGTTTTGCTTGAAAACCTTAATTTCAGAAGCAAAAAACATAACCCTCCTAATGGCGCATTCGGGTAACTATTTACATACTGAGCATATTATACTCGTGCTGATGATGTGGAAATCCTTGGGGAGGGCTTCGTCCAGCAGGGGACGTCATTAGGCTGAAACAAACAAACGAATGAACTTTACACGGAATTCTCAGTGCGCGAGTCCGACTCGCACTTGCCCGGTTTCTCTAAAACATTTTCTTGGCGGACCCTCGCCGAACTAAAATGATGCCAATCATCATTAAACGTTCTGTCGATTTTTTGCGCGAACCCTTTCATAATTACGATTTTGTACTTAGCTTTTATCTTTTCGGGAATAGAAGAAGTTTGAAGTGTTTATTTTTTAGATAACTTTTAAGAAAATTGTGAGGTCTATTGTCCAGTGTTACACAATCTATGGGAAAATAGCGTTTGATAACTATACAAAAATAAATCAATTATGGTAAAAACCAACCAAACTTTGCTGTGAACTGAATTAGCTTACATTTTTTTATTTCATACATATTAAACTTGAGTAGGTAAGCATTTTACATATTTGTGCCTAGGAATTACTAAAAATGCTTACAAAAATATATGTTTTCATTGCCCTTGTCTCGTTAAAGCGTGTAACATATTAAAACCAACAGTGTTACTTAGAAATAAACCATGAAAACTGGTATAAATCCACAAAATTAAACGAATTAATCAACGAAATATGCACTAAGGAATAGCCGGTGTAATCTACGACGGCCGGATTCCTACACTCGTAATTTAAGCGAGTCTATCCACTAGTTGTGGCACGCGGTTTTGTCTGCATAGTTGCTATTCTTAATTTGCTAGGGTCGACTTGTCACAAGGACAAGCTTGTGTAAATTCGTCACACTTCATGTCATTGTGTCTCGTGACAGACAGTACTTATTAACTTTATGACAAACTAGCTTTTGCCCGCGGCTTCACCCGCGTGAAATTTAGTTTGTCACAGATCGTCATAAATTATAGCCTATATGTTATACTGCAAAGTTTCATCAAAATCCGTTTCATAGTTTTTGCGTGAAAGAGTAACAAACATCCAGACATACAGACATCCACACAAACTTTAGCATTTATAATATTATAGTAGAATTTTCCTTTCATCCCCTGTTTTTCGTCAACCTCCGTAGGATTTTTGCGACAAAATACATATAGCAATGTAGTATCTTCTCAAAGTTTCAATTTTGTAGATACCAAAAGTACCTAAAAATCAAAGAATGTAGCAAACAGTCAGAGTGACTTAGTTTCGTGCTATTATTAATTAATAGGGTACCTACAGATTTATTTCAATGCCCCTAGCAATAATCTAAACCTCGAATTTAGTCATTTAATTATTACGATTCAATTATTTCAAAGCTGTTAATAGGTTTACTAACCATTGATAAATATGAAAATTAAATACAAACATAGGTATATTCTGCTAAATGTAGCTTTAAATAAACTGCCTGTTGATTTTCAAATAAAAGTTAGCTTGTCTGTGGACTGTACTTATTTAGTACTTATTAGCATTTAGATCTAAAAATCTGTTTGCAATATGAGAATAATGATACACAAATGAGAGGCTGAAATGGTTTTACGCTGTGGTTTTTCGTACTTATCTAAAGTTTTATAGATACTTAACATAAACATATAAAAAAAACTAGCTAAAAGTATGCTAACTTTTATGGCTTATAGCCAGTTTTTTTAATCTTCAGATAGTAATAGAATAAGTTTGATGTCTTTTCTACAGAAAATATTATGTCTTTAAGACTTTTTATCTCCAAGGAAAACTTTTCTAGCGAAAATCGGCCCCAGTAATTTTATTTCACAAAAAACCAAACTAAAAGTGCCCCCAACGTACGTTTATTGAAACGATTTTATTGCTGTTTTATTAGTTTTAGTTTTATGTTCGAAAATACTAAGAACTAACTTCCAAAATTGTTTTCATAACCTTTTTTACCAGTAAAACAACTATATTCACAAAGATTACTATGAGGTCTCACAGTGCGCGTGGACGCACAGGGTAATACAATCACAGATCTCTGTTCAATACTGTGCGTTCGATTTACTACTTCGTTTAAGCATCGTTTGTGAATACGGGCGTAACTCTGCTCAAATCTTTATTTTATCCACACACAGACATTTTCATTTTGCGTTTAGTTTCTGCGATAATATCTCAAGAATGTGTGAATGCACAGATTACAAATAGCGTCTTGCAATCCTCCGGGTATTTGCAACGAACGCTCGTAGCGATTCGTAGCATGCTACGGGCTACGAGGAAATTGCTACAGCGCGGTGCACTGCTACAATGTTTTGGGTTCTTACATTTTTATTTTTATTTTTCAGTATGTAGGTATGTATGAACGGTACGTTTAGCTTAATATTGCGGAATCTTAATGTATGCTAACATGTACGTAAGCGTATCAATACACAAATACATTCTACACGAGGTATATTGAGGAAATCTGATCAAAAGTTAAGTACTCATAGTTTTATTCCTACAAACATTAAGGCAAACTTTATGGTTTATTATCATACTATTATCACCAGCAATAGGTAAGCAAAGAAGTAATTACCTCTGCAATTTAAATTCCAAGCGTTACGAGAATTTCGTAGCCTTTCGTAGCTAGGTACATGCTATGAAAATACTACGAAACTACAAAGTTTTTTGTTGATTGAGATACAGGAAAATGGTAATAAATGTTTATGAATTCTATAAAGGAATTTTGCACGAGCTTTGAAACTCCCAAATTCCGATTATACTAAAACTAATATTAAACTTTAATAGCTAAAATGAGGGTATTAATAAGTACTAGGAAATGGTTATAACAATTTCTCTGAAACCGTGATATAACCAAACTGGGAAATGATTTTAATATGCTACTCGATTGTCACAATAGGGAATTGAATGGAGGACCTTCGGGTTGGGAATGTGACACTCGAACTATGAGAACACGGGGATGGAGTTTTCTTGGAATAAACGTGTTTGTACTCGGTTTTGTACGGCTCAAATTCCAAGATAATAGGGTAAAGAAATTTAAAATTATTTTACGTATTGGACTCTAGTTCAGTTAGTTATGTACTTACTATTGTTGTTTGATCGTCATGAAATTCCAAGAACAGCTAAGTTTAAAGATTATAAAAAACACATTTAAAGAGAAAATTAAGGTTTTAATACTCAATACTATAGTATAATAATATATCCTACTAATATTATCAAGGTGAAAGTTTGTGTGGATGTTTGTTACTCTTTCACGCAAAAACTACTGAACGGATTTTGATGAAACTTTACAGTATTATTATTTATAACCCAGAATAACATATAGGCTATAATTTATGGCGATCTGTGACAAACTAAATTTCACGCGGGTGAAGCCGCGGGCGGCCGCTAGTAATAGAATAATAATAGTTTGTACTGTTTTGTTCTAGCTACCCTGCCATAAGGACCCCTCGGTACACCGTCCTCCAAGCCCTGAGGCTCTGGTTTGGGAACCCTCGGAATAGGAGTCACTTACAGGTAAAACCTATTTAATGTATCTCTACAAAATTACTTTTCTCCAGCTAACTCTAGTTCTACTTAGTTAAGTTAGTTATGACTCATGTTAACATTAATCTATACCTACTTATATTAAATCTGTAGAGAGGTCAATTCTGTACATGAAATATATTTTCAAAATAACTATCAGCGGGTGATTAGTGATCGATACTGATTCCAAAACAGCAATCAGTAAAAAATTTGTCTGTCTGTCTGTATGTTCCTTATAGAAACAAAAACTACTCTACGGATTTTAACGAAACTAGGTAATATTATTCTTCATACTCCTGGGCAGATTATAGTATACTTAGGAATTCCCACGGGAACAGGAATTAGCGGGAATATTCTTTTGTATGAAAAATCTAAACCGCTTAAGTTAGACGCTTGAAATTTGGCATGTAGGTACCTTAGGAAACTGAAAGCTTAGTTACAACAGGATATTGCAAAATTCCCACCGGAACGGGAGTTAGCGGGAAAAAACATTTGCATGAAAAAATGTAAACCGCGTAAGATCGTATATGAAGGGGGTAAAACGGGATCCACGCGTACGAAGTCGCAGGCGGCCGCTAGTCATAAGTAAATGTTAACATTAATTCGTTCGTTCGTTCGTTTCAGCCAAATGACGTCCACTGCTGGACAAAGGCCTCCCCCAAGGTTTTCCACAATGAACGGTCCTGCGCTGCCCGCATCATAATAATATAATTATAACATTAATCTTCTTCTTTTCGTGTCGACAACAAACCTACACAGTGTCAGCCCAAAACTCCGCCACAAGAGTGGCGTTGTCAGTAGCACTCATCAAATCCTCCTGAGTGCAGTTGCTTGGGCACTCAGGGCATGACATCAGGTGCCTCATCGACTGGGGAACAAAACCGCACCTGCACTCCATGTTCAAGCCATCCAAGAATCCCCACCTGGCCAGATTGTCCTTACTACGGCCAACCTGCGTCCGAAGTCTATTTAAACATTAATTAATTATAATACTTAAATAGATACGTCACCATGAAATTGTGAATTTTGTCAGGTTATGATCTGACGTAGTTAGATTACAATCTAACCTATACAATCTCACGCGTTATATTGTAAACTGACGAAGCTCACAATTTCACGTTGATATACCTATGTAAGACTACCGTACGTACCGGAAAACGCAGCGTGGGTCGTCCACCCACAAGGTGGACCGAAGACTTCTTAAAGGTAGCAGGGAGGCGCTACCAACCGGGCGACATGGAAATCATTGGGGGAGGCCTATGTTCAGCAGTGGACGTCCTATGGCTGAGATGATGATGATGAAAACTACATGCTCGATGATATATCTTTTTCATAAGCTTCAGCGTTACTTTTAATTATACATCGAGCTTNAATAAAAATATTTAAAATCGCTACACATCGAATCCCTCTCATAGTCCACAACCGTATATCTGCCGTGACGGGGGTCGCTATAAAGCAACTTTTACGACGCTAGTGGGCGTTTAAACGACTATGTATCGTCCAAAATGTACGCGAATTCGGCACGCAAGACGAATGTTCGGCTCGGTAAACTATTAGGTCAAGCGGTAGTTTGTTCTTCTTTTACACTGCCGAATTACTTAAAAGTTAGGACGAAAATATAGAGAACTTTCATAATATTTGTAGTGGTTCATCATCGTCATCATTATTTCATCCACAGGACGTCCACTGCTGAACATAGGCGTCCCCCAATGATTTCCACATAAATAGTGCTTCTACTATCTACGAATTAATCAGTCAGCTGTAGGCCGCGATAAGCGATTATCACGCCATTTTATCGATTTTGCCCATACATTTGGACGTCGATAAGAGTAGGAAGTATATCATCATGGCGCGCATCCTAGGATGTCTGGTCATAGTAGGACTCCAATAGAGTAAATAAATTCAGCAATTGTAGCCAATAAAAGTAATTATGTATTATATTTATTTTTTCTATTGAAAAAAACAACATCTTGAATTTCAGTTGAAAAAAACCTAAATCATATCACAGCCTCCTTTATTTACATAGTGTAACAAACAGAATTTAATTTACCGTCGCCTCATAAATCTAACGTAACAAACATCGTGAACTAACAAATCGCGAGCAAACCATAACGGATTGGCACCGCTGCTCAAACTATTTGTCAACGCCCACTCTGACCGCGGCTGTCAGCGATCTAAAGGCCGCGCGGGTACAATACTGCTAAACTCAATAAATAAGACTGTGTTGCACTATCTTACTTTAACTTTGACAAACGTCAAAAATCAGTCAAACTCCATATCAAAAAACACCGGTTATCGTTATAGTTACGGTCTAAAGTAGGTGGTGCTACTCAGCCTAAGGCCCAGTTTTTTGATTCATAGTTAAAATAACTGATTGTTAAATTTTGATACTAATGGTTAAATATTAACAAAATGTAAACTAACAAAAACCGGGCCTAAGGCCCGGTTTTTTGATTCGTAGTTAAAATAACCAATGGTCAAATTTGACAGATGTCAAATGACAAGTGGTTAAATATTAGAAAAAAATGTTTTTCGAACAATGGTTAGCTTGACTTTTAGTACATTTTTTAACTATTAGATAACATTTTGTTAATATTTAACCATTAGTAGCAAAATTTAACAATTTGTTATTTTAACTATGAATCAAAAAACTGGGCCTAAGTGTTTAACATTGTTTTAAAGCCACATTTTTAATAATTAATTTGTGCAATAGTCCCGTTAGCCCCTCGTAGATACTTAGCTAAATATTCTTGTGTTACGGGTGTGAGCTTACCATAATAGTCCAGCGACAACGGGATTCGAATCCGCGTTCCTCGGATGTCGAGTCGGCCACGTTACTCACTCATATAATATGGATGTACCTGACCAAGCTTTATGAAACAAAAAGTACTGGAAAGTCTAAGCATTTTAATTTATTTTACCTATATTAAAAATAAAAAGCTTGAACTAATTTAGTTTTTATTTCTAGCTAAAGGTACCTAAATATTGAAGATTTTGTAACCGACCCCTTTTCTTTGCGGTCCAATGTATTTAATTTAAAACACATACCTAACACAGGTGACTTCGTTCATATTGTTTCATCACAGACTACACATCATTTCCTACATTACATTTCAGAGATAATCGTAGCCTTGAAAATTGGATTTTGCATGTAAGATTATAACTTCACTAATTTTCGTATTAACAACGTTTAGAATTTAGCAGTACCTAGTCTTTAATAGACGAATCTACTCAACAACAACAACAGAAAATTATCAGAATTTTTCATCACAAACTTTGTTATGAACGTCACGCATCCAAGCCTCAAGACATCTTCCGAGTATCATTATTATTTATTCGACACGATTTCTCCGTATCTTCATTAATATTATACATTGGCTGTTCAAAAATTCTCCGCGTGTCATATTCCATAGCTTCTCAAACCATCCGTCACCCCCCACTATGACCGCACCCGTCCTCTTGACGTGACGCGGTGTGACAAGACGCCCTATATTGGATTCCTGCCCCTTGTCACTTCGTATAAGTGAACTAGCGTGTGCCGTTGACTTTAATTGACAAGTTTATGTTTGTTATGAAATAAGCTTGGGGTGTTTTGCTGGAAATATTGTGGGGGTAAAAAATGTTTGGATATTTTTTTGGGTGTATGAAAATAAGCGCTAGTCCTGAATACGAATGAATTATATGGCCATGAATTATATCAATCGTTTTAAGTAATAGTTTTCAAGTTATATCTATATAAACTAAAGGTTTAGCGTTTAACTCAGGCGGTGCTTGAGGTATATGGAAGCGTCACGGGAGGAGTTTTTGAGGCGTCAAACGTCAGTAGCACTTCAAAATGTACAGTCACGGAATGAAAAGGTTCGTCAGTTTTCAAATTGATTCCTTCAACGAATCGCGAGCACATAATACCTTTTGAAACTATGTTACAGAATAATCTCGAGTTAGAGAAAATAATCTTTAACTGTTCGTCGGTAAAGTTCAAAATTATTCAAATCAAAGTTGTTTGACGATTTATCTTGTCAAGAAGATTATTATGATTGATAAACTAAAACCTTCTTGTTGGTTCAACCTGCCATTATTATTTCTTTTAAATAAAAAAAAACTTGTCAATTGGTCAATGTCATCATTGCATTGCACTGATGGGATAGAAAAATAAACAAGCAAAACCTTATTCGTTAGCAAACGTCATATTTATTTCAATGTTAGCAGCACTGTTTCTTGCACTGTTATGTTGGCAGGTTTGACTCTTACAGTACCTAGTGCAAGCGAAAACCGACACTAAGGTAACGAACCTTTTCATTCCGCGACTGTACTTTAGATTGGTATATTACTATATTCTGTCACGTCGTAAAACTCATAAAAAACTCATAAAACTCATTTATTTTTGCAAATAGGCTTTTAAAAAGCACTTTTACACGTCCCAATATAAACCCTACTACTGCTTCGGGACAATAAATGGGCTGCAGTGAGAAGAAGCAGTAATAATTATGTCAATGTCACCCCGTGCCGCTCCCATGCCTCAGGCACTGACTAAAGCTGACTTTTGCACTGATAAGTTTGTTGGTTTCTTTTTTAATGAACCTTAAAAAATTCTCTATTTTACATTATACATTATTAACGGGTACAGATTCTTCTACGATAACCTTTTTAAGTTGAACAAATTAAACAACATTTTTCATGTTACATTTTATTTACGCCACGAATATTCTCAGAAAGACGATTTTCCCACAAATACAATTAACCCTGTGGCTTATTTTTGCATTTCCTTTTAAATTGTAACCTTCCTAGAATACTTATCTACCAAGGAAATACAATCTCAAGGCGGAAGACTTTTTAAATAATAATTAAGTGCAAATGGTTTTCCCATAATTTTCCATTCCTTGAAATCGACAAAAAAAAGGATTGATCAATCTTTTTCCTTATTTATCTCGCTAGATAGATAAAACTTTTATTTGCAACTAACTTTCCGCCCGCGGCTTCGCGCGCGTGGACTACATTATCTACATATTTTACGGAACCCTATTTTTATCTAAAATAAAATTTAGTCTATGTTACACGTGAATAATGTAGCTTTCGAATGGTGAAAGAATTTTTAAAAACGGTCCAGTAGTTTTTGAGCCTATTCATTACAACCAAACAAACAAACGAAAGTTTTCCTCTTTATAATATTATAAGTGTAGATAAGGTAGAGGACACAAGAGAGTCAGCGAGTGAAGCGAGGAAGCACTACACCTTAGCTTCCTTGTGGTATGATATCCCATATCCCGCACGACAATAGCCCAATGGTGTTGGACTGGCCGAATCGAGATCCGAGGAACGCGGGTTCGAACCACGCCGCCGCGCTGGCCTATTGTGGTGAACCCAGTAACTCAAGCATTACTTAGCTTACCACGAGGGGTTAACAGGACTACATAAAGGTGCGTACGGATTGCGCGTACCCTGGTACGCGTACTCAGTTTACGCGTATCCGGAGTGCATAGTCCATACATACATGGACTGGTCCATACATACATGGACTGCGGCTGCCCACGATAGTTCGTTCGACGTTTGTTTCAGCCAAATGACGTCAACTGCTGGACAAAGGCCTCCCCCAAGGTTTTCCACAACTACCGGTTGATCATCAGATTGTCGGTCGAACTAATGGGAGGCCTGACCACACTACGTCTTCTAGCCGATTTAGTTCTAACGGGACATAATTTCAACAAGATACATTTTCAATTGATTGATGAATTGAAAATGTGTGATGCGAAAGTTTGGATGTCTGGATGTCCGGATGTCTGGATGTTTGTTACTCTTTCACGCAAAAACTGCTGAACGGATTTTGATAAAACTTTACAGAATAACATATAGGCTATAATTTATGACGATCTGTGACAAACTAAATCTCACGCGGGTGAAACCGTGGGCAAAAGCTAGTATTTCATATTTACAAATTACTTACCTACTTCCAAAAGTAAACATTGCCAATTCTCGATCGGTTCCTACCGTAATCGGTAAACTAATCGATTTCTTAAATTAAATAACCTTTCTATATCGATTCTAATCTCCGCACCGCGTATCAAAGCAAATACAAGGCCGATGCGTGAAACAGGTATAAGTAAAAACCGGCCAAGTGCGTGTCGGACTCACGCACAAAGGGTTCCGTACCATTGATTTATGAAATTAAAATTATTATTTCTTTTAATTTAAGTTATTTGTATGAAAGATTACGCGGTAATAAGCGGTTTACTATTTACGAGGTATTAAAAAAAACTACTTACTAGATCTCGTTCAAAATAATTTTCGTTGGTAGTTTTTATAGTAATGTACATCATATGTTTTTTTTTAGATTTTTCATTTTCTTATTTTGGAAGTTAGAGGGGGGACCAACTTTTTTCCACTTTGGAAGCGTCTGAAAAAAAAAATTTTAGAAACCTCGATATCATTTTTGAAGACCTATCAATAGATACCCCACACGTATGTGTTTAAAGAAAAAAAAATTTGAGTTTCAGTTCTAAGTATGGGGAGCCCCCAATATTTTTTTTATTTTCTATTTTTGCATCAAAATCTTAATGCGGTTCACAGAATACATCTACCTACCAAGTTTCAACAGTATAGCTCTTATAGTTTCGAAAAAAATGGCTGTGACATACGGACGGACAGACGAACAGACAGACATGAAGAATCTATAAGGGTTCCGTTTTTTGCCATTTGGCTACGGAACCCTAAAAATCCACGATTCGAGCAAATTCTATCTAGATTTCAAGCTCACGCCCGTTTATTCTCTTTGAAGTCCGAACTCGATTTTGTTTCGATTCCGATTTTGATTTATTCAATGTATTCGACTGTCGAATTTCAGTCAATTTTGAAAATATATTTTACCTCTTTCGAATATAGCGAATGCGATTCGTCGTATCCATTCGGAAATCGATATTCTAACATCAGGGTACCTGATATCATGGTTACCTGAAATGCAAGTAACCTAACTATGTTGGTTGGGTTATCAAAAAACTAAAATTTTTATTAATATGTTCAATTTGTATGGACTCTAACGTCACTTACATGTGACACGTCAATTATATTATTATTTTTTTTTTTTGTTTTATCGCTAACATAAATAAATACTCTTCATATTTGTCCCAGCTAGGTTTCGTAGAGTTACAGAAAATTCTCCAAACTTATCTCTGAAAAATCACTTTTTTTCACACTCTGTATTTTTATTCAATTTAATTCTAATAAAGCTGAACTACGAGTGAAATTATGGATCTTTTTAACAACTTTTTTCCTTATTTTCTACACAGCCCAAAACAAACTTCTGTCTAAGCGAAATTTACTTGTTCCTAACCAAGATTAAGTTCCTTGGTACTTTCTAGAAAGCTTCCTCTGCTTTTAAGATCAAAGTCTTCGAGTTTTAAAGTATCAAGACCTAACAAAATCCAACTTCAAAACATTTACAAGTGCATTAAGCCCGAAACACTGCCATTTAACTTTTATACTCCCCTGCATTGAGTTCAAAATGGTTTAGCACTACCAAAACTTACATGTACTGGCTGTAAAGCATCTTCCCGCGTTATTTTTGTCTCAAGTTTGCGAACAGATTTTTAACCATATTGCAACAGTTTTAAAGTTGTTTTTTGTCCACAGTCTGACTGCCTAATATTCTGGCTACTATCCACCGTAACAGCTGGTCTGCTGGCGGTATGCATCGTTGGCACACAATACTTTGTTATCGAGGGCAATAAATTTGGTAAGCTCGATGCAAGTCTTAGAAAGGAGGAAGGTGTGTGGTATTTTTTTCACGTCCTTTTTTTGAATTTTTGTTAGATCTTTTTTTTTATTTTGCCGTCAGAAAAGGTTTAGTTTTAAAAATCCATATTTAAACATAAAAAGAGGTTGTAAATGATTTTTAATGCTTAGCTTTTCTGACGGCTTTAATTTTTTGTTATTTCTATGGTGGTGGTTTGGTAGAGCTGGATAGAGACCACAGATTAGAGAGTATGTGATAGAGACAATATGTATCAAATATCAATCAATTGAGAATGTTACTAGGTATGCAAAATCACTTGAAACCTATGTTACAGTTAAGATTTTACATTTACAAATACATTAGTTTTTATTTCATTCAAAAATACCCAGTAGTTATGATTTTATAGGCATTCAAAGTTCGCTTAAATATTGAGTCCCGCCGACGGTCACGTGACCCCGTGTGACGTACATTCACAGCGTCCGCTCACTAGAAAACGGATATAAACATACTTAAATATTTTTTTTTTTGTAAATACAAACTTATTATACATATTAACACCCAGACCCATCACAGAAATTAAAATTGAACCAAACCCAAACTTGATGCGATTGTGTCGTTTTATTGCTAATTACCTTCCAGCTCCATCATTAGACCCCGATTACTACATAGAATTAAAATACTCATCAATTTGTATAGCACCGTCGTATCGAGAATGTATGATGAATATGGCACAAACAAGGGCCTTGTTTGAATATTTAGGCTTTCTAATTAATGAGGAAAAGAGTTGTTTTATTCCTTCCAATAGATGCACGTACTTAGGATTCATAATTGACTCCAGAAACTTTCAAGTCTGTTTACCTGATGCTAAAAGACATCACATATTAACAGAATTAACAAAATTGAGTCGTCTTCAACGTTGCTCAATTCGACACTTTGCTCGTGTTGTTGGTCTTCTTACTGCCGCTTGCCCAGGTGTACAATATGGTTGGCTTTACACAAAGCAGATGGAAAGATGTAAATATCTTGCTCTCCTGCAGTCCGATGATGATTACGATGCTTATATGAATATACCTACATATTTACAAGATGATTTTAAATGGTGGATTGGTTCAATTAAAAATGCAATTAATCCAATTAGAGAAGATATTTACACCTTAGAGATTTTCTCTGATGCAAGTAAAACATGGTCATCCAAATCACATGTGTTTGCGAAATTTCAGCTTAATCGGTTGCCTGGAAGTGGGTCTTAATTCAGTTTGCAAGATTCCACCCATACAAATATGAGCCACTCGTTGTAAAATGACGTCACGCGCATAAAATGGCGGGCCGGCCGCCGCCCGCACTTTTAAAATTCAATATCTTGGAAACTAATTGACGTATCGAAATAATTCTTTCACGTGTATTTTTTATTTTTAACAGAGAATACAGAAAGCTAAAAAACAAAATTAGTGAACATTCTTCATTGCTATAAATGACTTATAACAAATTTAACTCACAGATACCTACAGAATGCCTTATGTGGCCTCAAGTTCGCCTTATGTATAATTTTGTTTGGCACATTGAATAACATAAATTCGATCAATAGCTGTGTCTCGCACTCCTTAAAATAATAAATGAAAGGAATAAATTATTAAAAAATATAAAAATAGTTGCTATATTCTTCATCCCATCACTATTTCAGGCATATCCCACCGCATAACGGAAACAGCAATGGACTTCTTTATGGCAATAGTGTTGTGCGGGTACTCTGTCACAGTATACCTACTTTGGAAGGATCACTACGTCATGTGGAACAGGTGGCGACGAGCGAACGTCAATGTGAGACTGTTACTGTCACCTGATGCCAATCCCGTGCCATTCGTGCCCCGCCCGCGGTACAATATTGTGTGAAATTATCGAGTGATTTCAAAATTTCGCTGTGATTTCTGGAACGTGATATTTTTGTCGTCGCCGTCGCTATTATAAAACATTTTATTATTCATGTTAACTCATTGTTTCTTAAACTTCTGCTACTGTTTGTATGACTTAGGTAATAGTGGATTATTTACCAATCAGGTGAGATTAAACTTGCATTGTTAATGTGTTTCATATTAATAAAATATTTACATAGCATTTGGTTTTTTATTGGATTCTACCCACTATAGTTTCTCTCTACCACCGATTTGGGACAAGATATCAGCTGATAATAAGAAGTAGCAGAAGAAAATTGGTGAAACTTTGCCACCCTTGTGTTTATAATAGGTAGGTCTTCTTCTTACAGGAAACTTTGACCCGTTCCAATCACCAAATGACGTCCAATGCTGGACTTATCAAAGCCAAATTACAGCATTATCGATCAAGTGTCCCCATATTGATATTACTACAATACAAAGTCTGATGCTATTCAAGTCCATTGTCCTCGAGCTTAGTTCTATGTCCTCGAGTTGCAACGGTAGAGCTTGATAGAAATCGAGATCAATGCATGTATGTAATAGGAAGGGAACTCTGATCATTAAAACCATCTTCTTTACTCATGATTTCCGTTTATTACAACACCAATAAATAATCAACAATGTATTTTAAAACTACAATCAACAACATTCCATATAAAAATAATCAACTTATTTCAAAAATCAGATGTTGTCGGTTCGAGCGCTGGCGAGCGAATGCGCTCCGCTCGAGGCGACCGGCCTTTTTATAACGTAACTCGGGTGGGGTGATCGTGCGTAACTCGTTTGGACCGGTCGAAACACGTGCAGTGTGGCGTAGTATTTGCGTTGGTAGAACTACTTTTTCTTTTGCGCCGATATGTACAGCTCTGAATATAGAAGAAAATATTCTGTTTTCTAATACCCTCCTCTATCCTTCTCTTCAACAAATATAGTTTAAAGGTCTGTTATACCAAATCTCACTTTGTTTGAACTGAAAAAAAAAACGATTTCTTACTCTTAGCTTACATATCCCCAAAAACCGTTTTGCGCGCCAAACCCGCTCAGTATTCATCGATTCATGTTCGCACGCGTGTCCGCACTACCGGCTGCTGTAAACCGGTTAAACACCCGGATGCCCGGGTGTAGGCTGGCCCCGCGCCAGCCCCGGCGATCGCACATCATTCGACCCGGTAATGCAGGGATGGGGCACCAGTGGCACGCGTGCCAATGATAGCACGAAAATGCGTAGCCCCTGTACTATAACTACGAAGGGGCAGATGAAGAATATGTGTCATTTAGCACCTCGGTGGTATAAGTACTAGAAGGGGGCAGATGAAACTAAATATAGGTGCCAGCACTGCCAGCCAACCACCATCCCGGGCAAGCTCGAAAGGGGTAAATGGGAATAAAGGCAATTCCCTTCTTGGGCACGCAACCAATTGAAAAGTAACTATGAAATTAATAGTCTTTTTCGTTTCATGATGTCCACCGCTGGACAAAGGCCTCCCACAACGACCGATCTGACAGAGCCGAAAAAGGTAGTATGGGTAGGCTCCCTATTTGGTGGACCAATGTTCTGGTGAAGGTCGCGGGAAGTAGGAGATAGGATAAATATTATCATCCAAAGGTTTTTTTATGTAGCAAATACTTTTAATGTTTTCAATTGATATACCTAGCTACCTAACGTCAATGACTTTTTACAATTTTTTAAAGAAAAATAGCACTTGTGTAAATGTTCGCCACCCCTGGTGTAATATTGTAAACCGCAATGTACCACAACACGACGCTGCTACATCTTATCCAGTTACAATAAGAGCTATTTTCCAACGAAAATGTCTAGCCTGATGGGCTGATGGCCTGTAAGTACGTGTAGCAGCCTGGTTGCAAAGAGTTGCAAACGCGCAGATTTATGTTATTGTTATTTGAGTTTAATTTAGGCATTTTGGGAATGAACTGCGAATTTACCGATTAACAAAGATTGAAAACTCTCGGATGCTTGGCCCTATTTAGGATTATGACTGTAGGGTTTAGGAACCAAATTCCCAGGATCTCCAAATAACTTTATTTTACCAAATAAGCCAGTCAGAACCATTATTGTAAAGAAATGGTAAAGATATTCGTTTTCTTATTTTATAGACATCATCCTTACCTTTTTTCATCCCCTCCCATTTCACTTCTAAAATAACAACAGGCTGTATAGTATTTATTACGTTGCACGTTTAAAAACATAAAAAAGTGACATTTGACAAATCGATCGATCAATGGCGGCATTTTTTTGACGTTTGTTTGTTGCCAAACGTTTTTGACTGTACCACGAGTATTATTGCATTTTTAGTGTATTTAAGTTAATTAAACACATTTCTTGTGTACTGTGAAGATAGTGTAAACGTTCATCATGAGTTTTAGCTTTGGAAGCGCCACAACAACCGCTGGAAGTACATTTGGTACCACAACACCATCAACAGGTATGTTTGTCATTTTACACTATTATTCTACCAAGATTCTACATAAATTATTATTATTAGTTTGTGATAAAAAATACTTTTATAAGTTTTCATTTTGGTTACGTCCATATCTAAGCGCATCGCAGAAAATTAATACCATGACATAACCTCAATTTCTGCATACAAAATGTATGTTATTGAACAGAATCAGCATTTTCTCTTTATAAGTCGTAATAATACGAGTTTTAGCATAACCTTGGAGGTTTATTTGTGATTTATCTTTACTTGGTTCTTATGTTTACTGTTTTATTTCATTCAGGCCTAGCATTTGGCAGTGGAGATGCATCTAAACCGCTGTTCGGTTCTTCAAGTACAGGTTGGTATGCAGTTACTACTGTGAATGTTTTATTTGAGTTACTTCCTATAAACAGTTTTGCTAGAAACCTTCCTACTTTTATTGGATAGTTGAAACCACTGACCGGAGATTGCAAGCTTCTTTAAGATTTCAGATTTAACATAAAGGTACTTACAATACTTTGCATTTTGTAATAGACGTAAAAAATTCAATTTAGTTGTAAATCTCGATTTTTGGCTGATACTACATTGATTTAGAGAACAATCACAGGTTTCTAAAGGTAGAAAATGCATAAAATCCTTGCATTTTGTTAGCTCTAAAAGTATGCTAGATGCCAATTTAGCCGTGTGAACTACCCAATCTAACTAAACCTCTAGAAAATGCATTCTTATCTTGTAACACAATAACGCTAGTCTATTTTTTATTTGTTTTTGTTTGAAATTCATTTCATCTTTCATTAACAACAGAAAACAAACCATTCAACTTTTCGAGTTCCACGACCGGTGCTCCCGCATTCTCATTTGGAGCTAAAACATCCGCCACAACTGCGTCTTCATTGTGTAAGTTCTTTAAACGTTTTCCCGGATACAGAACTATCTAAAAATCATCATACTTGTAATATTTATCAACAAGAATCTTCACATATAAATAAAATCATAACCTGTTACATAATTCTCTGATATTAAATTAATAAAACAAAAATGTTTTAAATTCCATCCCATTTTAATTAGGTTATTTTTTTCTTTTTAAGCCAAGCTCTGTGCCATGGCTGTAGAATAATAATAAAAATATTATGTGGGTATTTTTAAAACACAAAATACACTGGATACCTGCTAAATTCAACTTAATCAGTCAGTTATTAATTTTCTTCCACCAAATGCAGTTTAATTATTGAATTTATTTAAAATTATTTAATTTATCTAATATTATCATTGTAATTATTAATTTATTATCTTAGTGATTAGTGAAAATGAATAGATTTAGTTCTAAAAAAAGAGGTAAAACTTTTTCTATTGTTTAATATTTAAGTAACCTCAAAAGGGTAGAAATTGGAATAAAAAAACTATTGTTTATCTCTAAAATACCTATAGTTATAGACATAAACAGATTTTTAGAAATAGACTTTCTTACTTTTTTATGAGAACCTTACTTTTTGTTACTTAAATGTTAAATTAAAACATCGAGGCCATGATGAATTCGAAAGGTTGCTTCTATTGTTTATGAAAAGATAATAATGAATATTGGCTTGTTGTTACTATAACAAAGTATAGTTTGTAATTTATTACTGTTTTGGCTTTGATATTTCTGAATGACTCATATTCACAGCATGAGCTTATAAAAATGTATATGTAACTATCCGACTTTCCTTTTTGTTTTAGGTATGGTACCTAGTTTACCTATGAATTAGTATTTTATTGATTAAAATTCGCAGTTTGCGATGTTTTAGTAACTACCCATCCCAAAATAAATGTGATGCCCGCCATCAAGTGAATCCTCCCACCAAATGAGTACAAATCAAAGAGATTTTTTTTTGGTCACTTGTAATTTCCATATTTATGTGTAAATGGCTGTTGCCCGCGGCTTCACCCGCGTGAAATTTAGTTTGTCACAGTTCGTCATAAATTATAGCCTATATTATGTTATTCTGACTTATAAACAATAATACTGTAAAGTTTCATCAAAATTGTTCAGTAGTTTTTGCGTGAAATAGTAACAAACATCCAGGTATCCAAACTTTCGCATTTATAATATTAGTACGTTAAATAAGCCCTAATATTTCAGTATAAACAAACTAAAACGTACTTCTATCTCCAGTTTCGGCCTCACCAGCCACCACCACTTCAGCGTTTGGTGCGAGCAAGCCGCTCAGCTTCAGCGGGTTCGCATCACCACCCAACCAGACTGTTGGCAGTCCTGGCTTCGGGCAGCCTGCTGCACAGGTATGTGGCATAGACTTATTAACATAACTGATACATAATTCTGATTAATAATAATGTGACAACTTAATTGACTGTTGCTGAGCTTTCACAATTTAATTTTAAACTTTCGCGTTCCATCTACTAAAATGAGAATAAATAAGAACTTCCTCGTTGTGGATAAAAAAAAAATAGAAAGACTGCTTGTGTCATCTACCTAATTACTGTTTGTGTCAAACTAGCAATTAATTCTTAATATCTTTTTCCAGACGACCGCTCAAAACCTGTCATTTGGAGCTGCCCAGTCAACACCTGCTCCTAGTTTCGGAACACCAGCAACACAAGGTTTGTCATAAAAATCTAATTATTATTATCGACAGTGGCAGATAATATCTGTATATTATACAGATTTGCCGGCTGTAGACTCTTCTGGCCCAGGGGGAGGATGTTGGGTTATTCTATAAATTCGTGTCATTAATGTATATTGTACTAAGCGTGGAGATGTTGCTTATAAAAATATGTGTGTGTGTAATAAAAGCTCATTTTAACCAACTTCAACATAAGGAGGTTCTCTGGAGAGGAGGAGAATGGAGAAGTTTCCTGATGTTGAAAACATTATATTTCTCTGAATGGAATTAAAATATAGACCTAAACTAAAAAGACGGTGAAGTTTTTTTTTTTTTCAAAATCCATCAAGGAAGTCACTTTGGTTCTCCTACGGATCTCCTCATTTCTGATTCGATCACGCAGAAAAACTCCGAGCATAGCACGCTCCATTGCCCTTTGGGTGACTTTGACCCTTCTTATGAGGCCCATAGTAAGCGACCACGTCTCAGATCCGTATACCATCACTGACAACACACACTGGTCAAAGACTTTTGTCTTGAGACACTGCGGTATTTCAGATCAAAATCAAAAGTATTTATTCAGTTTAGACCACAAGTGGCACTTATGAACGTCAAAATATTATTATAGAAAATAATCAAAAAAGAAAAGGTAGCCCTTATGGGGCACTTTACATGTCTCCTTATCTTTTGGGCCCTACCAGCGCTTCGAGACAAACATATGGCAAGTGCTGAGAAGAAACGCCGGAACAAACTCAGTCACCACTAATTGCCAGGAATTATCTAACGGTAAGAATAACCAAATTCGAGTACATCAAATATGTGCAGACTGAACTGGACCACGCATCCTTTTCATCAATATAGTCTCGAACCTTGTAGTACCCAGACGGGAGAATATCGCAAAACTTCCCGAAAGCTACCCAAAACTCACTTACTAATATTTCTATTTAATATCCTAGCGGCCCCAGCGTTCGGCGCAGGCGCATCCAGCGGTTTCTCCTTCGCCAAGACGACAGCGTCAACCGGGTTTGCCTTCGCCACACCCACCTCCGGTTTCTCAGCGCCTCAGGCTACCACTGTGAGTATTAATTTTATTTATTTCATTTGAAAGGCGATCATAAAGCCAAGATATGGCATAAAATTCAATTAAAATGAATTAATCTATATACAGGGTGCTAGGTAAATGGGTATATGAGCCGACACTAGCCCATGTTAACATGGTCATATAAATGGTATGGTGAAGTCAGAAAATGGATATCTTCATTTTAATTATTTTAATTTTCATACAAGTCGGATTTTATAAAATTTATTTTGTATGAAAATTAAAAAAAAAATTATGATATCAAATTTCTGACTTCACCATACCATTTATATGACCATGCTAACATGGGCTAGTGTCGGCTCATATACCCATTTACCTAACACCCTGTATAACCTGTTTTCCGTTGTCACGACATAACATGAAAACGGCTTGACCGATTTGGCTGATTTTTTTTTGTAGTTTTCTAATACTCTGTAAAGGTTTTTACGGAAAAAAATATAAAGAAAATCTCTACGCTAAGGCGGTACGAAGTTCGCCGGGTCAGCTAGTTAAATATAAAAATGTTTTTAGAAAAAATATTTTACCTAGTTAAATAGGGAACACTTGCAAAATTATTTCATGATTGAATAAAATTAGTTAAAATCTAACTGGACAATCTGTAAAAGAAGTATTTTCCACTACGATCGGGCCTACTTAGTATTTTAAGGAAAATATTTTTATAGTTCTCTAGCTAGCTAGAAAATAGCTGAGCTGACATTAACTGGTGAAAAAAGCGGAATATCGTGCTCTTAGGCGTTCCTTGGGATAAAATTTCACCATATTGGACTACATTTAGATAATTTTACCAGTATTAATCGAGTGGCGACCACGGGCTGGAAGACGTAGCGTGGGCAGGCCTCCTACTAGGTGGACCGACGATCTCGTAAAGGTCGCGGGAAGAGCCTGGATGCGGGCAGCGCAGGACCGTGCATTGTGGAAAGCCTTGGAGGAGGCCTTTGTCCAGCAGTGGACGTCATTTGGCTGAAACTAACGAACCAGTATTAATCATAATAGATTTTTATTTTTCCAGTACAAACATTTCAATGTATTGATTCTTGGTAGTATCTGTTTTGTATTTTAATGATCGGTGTACTATTAATACTAATTGTTAGGTAAATAAAGTAATTAAATTAAACTCAAGCGCTGTCTATAACTACTGTATTTTTCTTCTGACCTTTTAGTGTTGCCATCGTGTACATAAGTGTAAGTTTTTGTAACTTTTGTAAGAAATGTTTATTTATTTATTTCTTTCAATTTTAACGTTTAAATCTCCACAGGCCACCACATCAAATGCTCCACAAACCACGCAGTCCAGCTTTTTGACGTCCACAACATCAGCCTTCGGGGCGAAGCCCGCGTTCAGTTTCGGAGCCTCCACGCCTGCCTTCGGAGCACCCGCGGCAGCCGCTAGCGCAGGTAATGTTTAGAATTGTTATTGAATTAATAATGTATGTTTCATTTTAGGCTAACATATGGGTATTTTAAACACGATTCAGTAATAAATAACATAAATTAGAAGTCTGTAAAACCAATCAAAAATACCTATTGCGATAGTTTTTATGGTTTTTTGTTTCATATTTATTTATTTATTTTAAGGACAGCCAACAAAGCATACACCTTATCTAATTAACCTTAATACATCAAACATTATGTGGTATTGCCTTACTTAAAGGCTGCCACGGCATGCAAATAAGTGTACTACTAATAGAAGGCAAACACAATTTCAATTTTCTTTTCTCTTTTACATGTTTAGAGTCTACAGTTCGTTTCGGATACATAGTCCAATCTTTAGACTATTTATCCGAAACGAACAAGTCATGCCATTAAATTTTAATAGAAAAAAAGTACCCAAAGCAACGGTGATGACATGGTAAAAAAAAGTTAAATAACTTGTACAGAGTCTGTCATTGCCACCATAGTTTTAACATTGCCTATACCTTGTCATAATATAGGTAAACAACCAATATTTTTTTAACGAATAATCCAAAAATTCGATTCTAATTTCGTACGTTTTGTTCCAGCACCTGCCTTCGGATCTACCACAGCAACTCTTAGCTTCGCGCTAGGCGGTCAGCAAACAGCGGCGAATACCGCCCAAACGACCCCAGCCAAAACCCAAGGCCTCAGCTTTGGTGCTTCCACTTTCGGCACTTCTACGGCTCAAACCCCGGCCTTTGGCAGTGCCACGACACAACCGGCCCCGGCTTTCGGCACTTCTACAGCCCAAGCTCCCGCTTTCGGCTCATCAACAGCCCAAACGCCAGCTTTCGGCACATCAACAGCCCAAGCTCCGGCTTTCGGCACATCTACGGCCCAAGCTCCCGCGTTCGGCACGTCTACGGCTCAAACGCCTGCTTTCGGCACTTCTACGGCCCAAACGCCCGCTTTCGGCACCTCTACGGCCCAACCGGCACCATCTTTCGGCGCGTCCACCCAAGCCCCAGCCTTCGGGACGTCCCAACCGGCTCAAACGTCAGCCCCTAGTTTCGCCCAAACAACTTCAGCGCCATCTTTCGGTGGTTCGGCCGCGCCAGCGTTCGGCACATTCCAAGCCCCTTCCTCTGGTTTAAATTTCGGCGCTACCACCACGGCCGCGTCAACTCAGCCCAGTTTTGGTTCTCAACAAACCGGGCTTAGTTTCAAACCAAGCACGACCCCAGCCACTCAAACTGGGCTTAGTTTTGCGACTACTCAACCGACTCCATCTTTCGCGCCGTCAACTACCGGGCTTAGTACGGCGCCGACTGGGCTTAGTTTCAGCCAGCCGGCTGCCTCGACTGGGCTTAGTTTCACAGCCACTACTGGGCTTAGTTTGAAGCCTGCGTCATCGGCTGCGACTACGGCGGGATTAAGCTTCGCAACGTCGGCTGCGTCTACGCAACCAAGCACGGGGCTTAGTTTCGGAACTACCACATCGACGGCTGGGCTTAGTTTCGGAACTAAAACTACGGCTGCCACCGCCACTTCTAGCACAGGTCAGTCATCTTTATTTATTTATTGAATTGTAAAGCACATATAGAGAACAAACAGTAACTTTTTTATTTATTTTATTAATTTATTTATTTATTTAAGGATAGTACACATCACAATATCAATCTGTGATAACAATATTTTTATTAGATTTTTTAGGCCAATTATGACTATCCAACATTAAACATTTCTACAACCTTCTCGAGTGACAATTTGTGTGAATGTTAGTTTTTTTATTCTAATTATTTCCATTGTTTTGGTATTTTTAATCGCCTTTGTGTTATAGAATCTATTTTCTAAAAGCTATTTTTGTTTTACATTTCGTTTGTTTTTTATGAAATGTCATGCCATTTTACTGTCAAAATTATTTGCCAATATTATTTACAATATTTGTATTTTCTCATAATAATCTATGAAATTTTAGTAGTAGGGACACTAAACATTTGAAAGCTACATTCTTGTTAATGAAAACTAAATTAATTGTTAATTTTAGTTACCTTAGAGGTAAAATATGTCCTCCAATTTGATTGTTCTGTAAATATCTTTTTTTATACATATCAATTTACTTTAAATTTGCTTAGACGCCCAACAAGGTCGTGTGGGTCCAAATCCCATCAGTGACAGTTATCTTTAAATTATTCAATCATGTTTTAAATTATTTAATCATGGAGGCCGCGTACCGGAAAACGCAGCGTGAGACGTCCACCAACAAGGTGGACCGACGACATCGTAAAAGTAGCAGGGAAGCGCTGGACGCAGGCCGCTACCAATCGATCAACATGGAAAGCATTGGGGGAGGCCTATGTTCAGCAGTGGACGTCCTATGGCTGAAATGATGATGATGATGAGTCATGTTTTTAACCATTTCAGCTTCAACCACAGCTCCGTCTGGCATCACAGCATTGGGCACCACAACTTCAGCATCAACTACGCTGCCGGCACTTGGAGCCACTGCCACGTAAGTTATCGCATTTAAAGTTTAATTGGATTGACCGGAAGATAACTCTTTATAGAGATAAGACTGTACTTGCCTGATAAGCCGTACTTGGAGACCTCTTCATATTTATTAGAGACTAGCATTCCGCCCGCGGCTTCACCCGCGTGAAATTTTGTTTTTCACAGAAAAACTTTATCTGTTTCAAAATGTCCTTTCCAGACTAAAGCTATCTCTATGCCAAATTTCATCAAAATCGGTTCGGTGATTTAGGCGTGAAAGCGACACAGACAGAGTTACTTTCACATTTATAATATTAGTAGGTATAAATGGAGAGTTTGACCTACACTTCCCACCCTGGCTAGACGAATCGGGAAGACTGATTATAGCTTTGTTCTTTCTAAGAGAACTATGCAATATTTTTTTAAATTCCTCTCTTAATTATTAAAGCAAGGTACCTACTTAAAATGTTATTTCATCACTATTTTTAGTTTATATTCCAAAGTTAATGATAACATGAAGGCAGTTTGCAAACCATAGTATAGGCAGTGTATTAGAAGCTAAGAAATTAATTAACAATTTAATTTTCAGAACAACAGCAACCGGCCCGCCGCCCGCTATGATTTCAAACATAACCTTCGCGCAGTTAGAAGAGAACATCAACAAGTGGACCATCGAGCTGGAAGACCAGGAAGCTACATTCATAAACCAGGCCACGCAGGTCAACGCCTGGGACCGGCTGCTCATCGCTAACGGAGAGAAGGTAACACCACAATAATAATATACTTCGTACAGGAGAGTTTCTTCGCATTGCAAAGGTATTTTAAAAATGTATGAGACGAACAGGCCTGGTAACACTAAGAGTCAAAGCACACACGCTAACTGGACTCGTCCCACCGCTGCAACTGCTGTGTAGCCAGGATCTACAGTTTAACCGCTAGTAACCCAATCAGTGAAGGCCACGTTTGTCCCGGAGGAATAAAAACTGTCATTGGACTCGCAACGAAATTATTCAGAACATAGGAGTTCGAAGTTAATGTTCGACTTCCCTCCAGTACAAAACGAAGAAGGTAAGTTTTTAAACGCAGAACGTCATTGCCAAAAATTATGGTCACTTTCTCAAAAATAACACTAGCGACGCACCCCGGCTTTGTGACATATAACCTTCGCGTTAGAAGAGAACATCTACAAGTGGACCATCGAGCTGGAAGACCAGGAGGCCACCTTCATAAACCAGGCCACGCAGGTCAACGCCTGGGACCGGCTGCTCATCGCTAACGGAGAGAAGGTAAGAAAGAAAGAAACATAACAATTACCACGGTGACGAAGACCACGAACGCTGATTCAAAATCGTGGCTCCATGCCGAGGGTCACGGACTATTTATAAAATACTAAAGCCTGGTCCGTGAGCACGTAGAATTTCGTCCAATGACCCCAAGCTACCCATTCTTATCGCTCGCGCGTAATTATATTGCTGTCGCGACTGTGCGACGGGCGCCCTCAGTGAGTGTGCGAGCGCGATAGCAACATAATTACGCGCGAGCGATAAGGATGGGTAGCTTGGGGTCGTTGGACGAAATTCTACGTGCTCACGGACCAGGCTTTAGACAGGACACGCCCCGGCGTCGTGCGATAAGTTTGTCCCGGCGGAAAGTTAAACTGTCATTGGACCCGCAACGAAATTAATCATCGCCTGCTCATCGCCTAGCGGAGATAAGGTAAATAAAGGGCCTATTTCCACCGCTGCAATTCTTGTGTAGCTAGGGCAGTCTTTGAGATGACATCGCGAAAACCTTCGGTATCATATCACAATTATGACCCTTTATTACGCAATCGAATCGCAACGAATCATCTTGATTCAGGTTATTGCTGGATAACAGTTGGTCCAGCCTGTCTTTGTAGTTCATTACTGACGGTGAGAATGTAACTAATAATAAACCCTAGCTGTTGCCCGCGACTTCGTACACGTCAACATTGTTTACAACAAAGTTCTATTTTGTTCAGAATTTAACAAATGTAAATAAAAGGACTTCACCAAACTCGCGAAGGTATATTAATTTTTCCTCAAAGAACAAAGTAGAAGATAAGCTAAACAACCCTGTCCAATCAGTCAAAAACAAAATTAATTAACTATTTATTGTCCCTCCACAGATAGTAGAACTCAACGACGCGGTCCAGTCGGTCAAGAACGAGCAAGAGAGCCTGGAGCACGAATTAGACTTCGTGCTCGCCCAACAGCGCGAGTTGGAACAACTGCTCGCGCCGCTGGAGAAGCAACTGTTGGACGCCGCGCCCGATCGCCCGCGCGATCCGGAGATACAACACATGTGAGTGATATAGTTTTAACGCTATCATCAAACGGTGCCGTCTTGAGTGGTAACAAGCAGGGAAGGATTGCAGTCATTTTCCCTCTGATAGAAATGACTCCGAAATCTGTTGCTGCCAGCTCATATGCTTATAAGGTCATTTTAATCTCCACTGCAATTGAACGACATCTTTTGAGGTCAGATGCCACTCGATAACTTACTTACAGACTATCGATATTCCAGCTTTCGCCAGATAGTCCAGATTTACAAAGCCGGTTACTAAAGACATTCCAACCTGAGTTCCGAGGAATATGTTAGATTGGCACCACTAAAATCGCGCATTTATCTAACACTAGTTAAAGCCCGCGACTTCGCCCGCGTGGAATTTTGTGTCACAAAAAAACTATCGCGAGCATCCCTGTTTCAAAAACCGGGATAAAAACTGTCCTATGTCCTTTATGCCAAATTTAATCAAAATCGGTTCAGTGGTTTAGACGTGAAAGCAAGACAGACAGACAGAGTTACTTTCGCATATACACTCAGCGGCACGGAATTTGGCCCAAGCCTAAACACCCTGTTATGAAGCCAAATAGGTGTTGTATACCTAAGTTTCGTGTGACATGTTAACAGAACATTTGTTTTTGTTAATTTAAGAGGCTAGATTAATAAAAAAAATACGTCTGTTTAACTTTTTTGACTCTAGAAACGCATTTCGTTGTTGGAGCGTAAAGAGTACGGGTAAGTTTAAATTCGATATTAAATGTTGTAAAGGTTTGGTGTTTTGTTTCTTGTTTTTAAATTAATCTTATGGTTATTCTCGTTTCCATAATTTGAGAATAATGCCCATTACTCCAGCTCAAGGTGCTCAAATAGTGTTCCATAGAAGTCAAGGGCGTATGCAGCGGGAGATGGCTGAAACTTTCAATTTATGGCGTACAAACTTAAGATACGCGTTAAAAAGGCATGACCAGACCGCCTTTTACACAAGAAGACCAAGAAGTGGGGAATAAAGGTGTATGTCAGCGCGTGATGACCCGATTATCGTGCTTGCATTATCAAGAAATCGGGTTCTCACTACGTTTGAGTTACGCCAGCGTTTACAAACAGCAAGCCCAGTGAATGTCAGTGAGCACACAAAAAGAAGAAGGATGGAGGATCATAACCTGCATACTCGAAGACCAACTCGAGGACCAGAACTTCTCCGATACCTTCGCGAAGTGCGACTTACGTTTTCTAGAGAACATGCAAATTGGACGCAAGACTAATGGAGTAAACTCTTTATGAAAACTGTCTGTTTGCGTAGTAACTCTTCTCCACACCTTCTCTATACACTTCCACGGCCGTCTGGAGCTCTTAAGGTGACTCTGCAGTCATCGATCCATAGAACTTTACTCCATTAGTCTTGCGTCCAATTTGCATGTTCTCTAGAAAACGTAAGTCGCACTTCGCGAAGGTATCTGAGAAGTTCTGGTCCTCGAGCTGGTCTTCGAGTATGCAGGTTATGATCCTCCATCCTTCTTCTTTTTGTGTGCTCACTGATATTCACTGGGCTTGCTGTTTGTAAACGCTGGCGTAACTCAAACGTAGTGAGAACCCGATTTCTTGATATTGCAAGCACGATAATCGGGTCATCACGCGCTGTCATACACCTTTATTCCCCACTTCTTGGTCTTCTTGTGTAAAAGGCGGTCTGGTCATGCCTTTTTAACGCGTATCTTAAGTTTGTACGCCATAAATTGAAAGTTTCAGCCATCTCCCGCTGCATACGCCCTTGACTTCTAAGGAACACTATTTGAGCAACTTGAGCTGGAGTAATGGGCATTATTCTCAAATTATGGAAACGAGAATAACCCTAAGATTAATTTAAAAACAAGAAACAAAACACCAAACCCTTACAACATTTAATATCGAATTTAAACTTACCCGTACTCTTTACGCTCCAACAACGAAATGCGTTTCTAGAGTCAAAAAAGTTAAACAGACGTATTTTTTTATTAATCTAGCCTCTTAAATTAACAAAAACAAATGTTCTGTTAACATGTCACACGAAACTTGTATACAACACCTATTTGGCTTCATAACAGGGTGTTTAGGCTTGGGCCAAATTCCGTGCCGCTGAGTGTATAATATTAGTATAGCTTGCTAACACACTGGAAACGCTCACACTATTTCACATCTTCTACGCATCGTAACTAGTGGTTTGTGATGTTAAATGAATAAATAAAAAATGTATTTATTGCCTTCGAACCATTAGCACAGAATAATAATAAGTACTACGTACAGAAGTTTTACTTCGCGAAGGTATTTAAAAAAATGTATGCTCAATGTCATTAACAATATGGTGCAATTTAGCCTGTCTCAAGAGTCAAGCACCATTTTGTTGACAAACGTCAGTGATCGGCACTGCGCCGAAGCTTAGGGCTGACTTCAGTAAAATGATGTGACGTGAGGTGCCAAACTGTGGAAAATGGCTGAGGAAATACATGAATTATCATGAATAATATTAACTACTTATTTACCTCTCAGTGTCCTGAGGCAACTTAAAAAAGTACGTTCTGTGTTTTTATTATTATTTAGGCAGTTAAATACTGCACAGTATTTAGTACACCATTTTCTTTATTTTCTTCCATCATACAGAAGAATACGCGTGCGTGAGTCAATGTTCGCTCGTATGTGAGTCCTTGTCGAATAGTATCCTGTAGGTGGACCGTCGTGCGTGTTTTGTTTTCGATGTAAACTCGCGGAGATGAACAGGCCTGCCATTAGACTAAACTATAATAATATGAAGTACACCAAAGGCAATTGTTCTTTTATTCGTACACAAATGTAAATGTAATCTTTTTACAGGTACTCCTTGGCTGAGAACCTAGACTCACAGCTTCGGCAGATGTCTGAAGACCTGAAGGAGGTCATAGAACACTTGAACGAGACCAACAGGAGTCAGGACAGCAATGATCCTGTGAGTAAATACATTTTTAAATGTCCGTCAGAAAATACAAGGCAGGTCTTTGACCGCAATCGCACCTGGTTTTTGTTCAGCAATAGTTCTAGTTTTAAAGATTTCTAAACGTGAGCTATTTAAGTAATTAGGTATAATAGTTATTTAAGTAAATCGCCCAACCAAGATTAGCCTACACTTGGAACAATCCAGGTTTTGGCTTAGTGTCGTCATACAGGAACAGGATGTTTTACCCCTGAATACATTTATGTATAAACAACTTTCACTATGGAACCAACTCTGAAATCACAAACAAATCTGTTGTATAATACAATACAGACAGGTTGACCAAAATGAATGAAACAGAATTTTTTTTGGTTCGAAATGATAATTATCGTGATAATAACAGATGGATAATTATCGGTTGATAATAACAAAAAATGCGCTCGTGAAAATGAACTGTATTCGGAGTTTTCGAACCTGTATATCCGCACTTGCGTCTAGTGGTGGGCGTAAATCAACATAGATTGCTTAAAAAACCTATCTATTTAACTCCACATTAATCACTAGTTAACTAGAGTCAAAATATTTATCTATTTTCCAAGCTTTATGCGACTCTATGGATAACTTGACAACAATCAGCAATCAAAAACATAAAGCAACTTTTGCATGAAATTTCTTATGAAACAATATGACAAATGTATCTTATACTGTTGATAATTATCCGATAATTATCATGAATTTCGAACCCTGAGTTGGTCCCATAGTAAAAGTTGTTTAATTATATTCTTGGTTAAAACATCCCGTAAAGATATCGAGACAGTTAAAAAAAACATCCAGTACTTTGAACATGGTAAAATCAAAATAAAATAACCAACATATTGCATTTCCATTTCAGATCGTGCAAATAGGTCGGATCCTCAACGCTCACATGTCGTCAATGCAGTGGGTAGACTCCGCCATAGCCCAAATATCCAGTCGTTTAGACGCACTTAGAGCAACACACGATGAACTCAGAAGGGACAACGAAAGGTCCTTCCATTTGACTTATAATTAGATTATTTTGGAGCTAGGATTTTTTAAAACCGTATACTGTTGTTACGTTTACACATAAACTGATGTTGTATTTTGTATTAGATTCCCATAGCTGTCTGTTGTACGAATTGTAAAAGACTAAAACCTTTCAAAAACAGTATGTATGTGGTGATGATTTGTAACAGAAATATTAAGATTTATGTCAGCATCAGTAGTTTGGGACAGGGAATTCAGTATTTATAAATACCGTAGGATACAAATGACCCGTAATTTTTTTACTCCATCAATTTTTTTCCATCAACTCTCTCTGCTCATTGAATAACCTAATTATTGCAAAATGAAACCTTATTTACAAAAGACACTTCTTTTTACCTTTCTTTCGAATTCTCTCAGTCCTAAGCTATTTTCTCGCCAATGGTTTTAAGAAATGAATCAACATGCCTTGCACAATGCAAAGGTATGACAATTTCATAAAATTATCATTCTAGGTAGTCATCTAATTAATGTAATCCAAAAACTGGACTGGAATATTCCCATATGCCTAATTATAAAGTTACTGTCATAGTTTGTACAAGATTTAAGTCCCAATGGTTTCTGTACTATAATAAAGAAGAATAGATAGTCTGATTAATAATATTATGTATTTGAAACAATATTGTATCCAGTGGTCATAATTTTATGTCAGTAAGTTAAATAAAAATGATACAACTATTAAAAATGCTTTTATTTTATAATTATTATCACAGTCTATATTTATAGGGTATAAATCATTTCTAACATAAAAAGTTGCTAGGCATTTAATACATAGTAGTTTATACACAACAGCATCCTTGTGATGTAATTTATAAACCCTGACTGTACTAGAGTAATGTGAGAAACTGAATTATTATTATTTATAATTCAGTTTCTCTTATTCTAGTACAGTCAGGGTCAAATATTTCGTGACATCCAAAGTGACTAAACAGTTGGTAACACAGCTTTATTCCAATACAACAGACGTGTTGCGAACTTTTTGGCTACTTTGGGTGTCACGAACTATTTGACGCTGACTGTACCCTACATCATGTCATTTATGCCCGTATTCACAAACATTACTACACGAACCAATCACAGAGCTCTATTCAACGCTGTGCGTTCGATTTGCTGTTTTACTTAAGCAAGCATCGTTTGTGAATCCGGGCGTTGAGTCTCCACTACAGGAACACGACTCCATAGAGGCTATTAAGAGGTTTTTTTTCAACTTTTTTGGCCACACTGTTAACTATCCATTTCCGTTTTTGCTCTCGCTCTCATCAAATGGTGATTCTTTGCGATAGAGCGAGATGACATGACTGACAATGGGCAGTTAACACTGTTGCCGATAGTACGTCCACTGCTGAACTTTTCCACAATCCCTCCATGCAATTATTAGTACACAATCCCACTGATAAAACATTGCAACTTGACGTTTTCTTCGGTTTGCAAACACAGAATCACTAGTTTTTTATGAACAATGCTACACACAGTCCGGTTGTGGGATATCTGGTCTGCGCTCAGGAATATCGATAGCTTTTTGGTGTCAACCCTGCAGTAGCATACTCGGGATGTGTCTTCGTTCACTTGGGTCTCCGTTTCAGAGTCTGAATGCTCTATCGGACCTGGAAATAGGGAAAACTTTATAAATATTTATAACTATGTATATTTTAAAGTCTGTAAACCTTTGAAAAACAGGCTGACAATAGTGACTGAGTTTCTTGCGCTGCTTCTTCTCAGCACTGGCCCATTTATTGTCCTGAAGCAGTGGTAGGGTTAATTCTGGGACGTTAAAGCCTATTTGCAGAAAATATGAGTTTTATTATGAGTTTTTTTTTTGTGAGAGATTCAAGGATATCTAGATTTTTTGATTTTGTAATATCATTATTATGGTGGCAACTGGCAACAGGACATCAAGCTATTCTGAGGCATCTCGTGTAGTATAGATGTCCAACAATGAACCATCCCAGGTATGACAATGTCAGGAGGGCGCTACTATCTATACTGAATATTTAGTTCCGATTTTTGCCATAGGAGGGCGCTACTAGGTTGTTAGTTATTGATTTTTGCCTTGGATGTTTCAAAGAAAGAAAGATACATTTATTACAATGGACATCACACAAATACAGGCAATTACATAGACATGACAGTGGCACTTATAAATTAAAGGAAGAAAAAATAAAAACAAGAGTAAACAGCAGTGCCACCCATTCACAAACAAGATGCCCTGCACTGCAACTGTTTCAGAATCTGTGTTGCAAAAAATGAAAAATTATGGCTTATCATCATCATTTCAGCCATAGGACGTCCACTGCTGAACATAGGCCTCCCCTAATGATTTCCACAAAGGCCTGCATCCGCCTCCTGCTACCTTTAAGAAATTATGACTTAGTATTACAACACTATTCTATTTGTTCTCTCCTACCTGCAAAAGCCTCCACCCTCAAATCCTTGAACCTGGTAGACACCTTCGCCATATCAGTCTTAATCTGCAGCGTGAGGCGACCTTCGGCCGACGCCCGTATCACCACCTCAGGCGCCATTGTACGCATTCGGTCTATGGTCGTGCGAAGCTGCTTTAGTGGCGGTAGTTCTATTGATATCTGGAAAACGCAAGGACATTTCAGGGCTATTTGCACAAAAATTGCTACTATAAACCATTGCTATAATAACTGTTAATGATCTATAGCTGTTAAATAATATTGGAGCAAGAAGTCTGTGACAAATAGCCATTGTGCGCATTCGGTCTATGGTCGTGCGAAGCTGCTTCAGTGGCGGTAGTTCTATTGATATCTGGAAGTGGCAAGGACATTTCAGGGCTATTTGCACAAACATCTGCGAGCACGTAGAATTTCGTCCAATGAAGCTACCCATCCTTGTTGCTCGCGCGTAATTATGTTGCTGTTGCGCTCGCACACTCACTGCGGGCGCCCGTCGCACAGTCGCGACAGCAATATTATTACGCGCGAGCGATAAGGATGGGAGTCATTGGACAAAATTCCACGTGCTCACAGACCAGAGTATAAACCATTGCTTTCATAACATTACTGATGTATAGCTGTTTAGTTAAAGGAGGTGGATGGGAATAAATATGTGCTATTTACCACTATATTATGTGCCATTTACCATGTGGGTGGTAAACGCCACCAATTTAGTGGCAACCACCACCCCGGTGGCAACAGTGGCGGCGTAGCATGGGTTGGCACCCGGGGGGTCACAAGTCCTATGGCACCCCCTGGTACCCACCAGGATTTTGGGGTTACCTACCGATTCGAAGATTGAAAGACAATCGCCCCCCCCCCCCCCCCTATCATGACATAGACCGCAGATTTGCCATGCAGATATGCCAGTGAGTACTAATCTGCGCGACTTGTGTCACCCCCTGATGCTTGGCACCCGGGGCGGACCGCCCCCACCGCCCCCCCCTTACGCCGCTACTGGGTGGCCAGCTTAAAGGGGGTGGATGGGAATAAAGGATTTTACAGATCAAAGATAGGCAATAAGTCAGGGAATGTTGGAACTTAACAAGTTAACATACAGGTGATCCATTTCACAGCAGACTGAATAAAAATTGTATCTTAAGTTATATTCTGACTACAGAGTACAATCAAAAAACTAAAACTACACACTAAAAAACCACTTCCCGTTTGCGCTAAGTTTACCGGTCCGTGGACTGCGCGTCTCCTCCCCCAACCGCGATTAGACGCAATTAATGTGACTTATTTTACGCAAATACACAATTTTTATGGGACAATATTATTTGATCCTCTAAAAACTAATTGATCTTTTTTGTATGTGCACTTTTAAAAATAAATGATGTTTTTTATTATATTTTATCTTTATATTAATTATTGGGTCTATATTAGTTGATCTACGGATAAATTATGAATGATCTTCATTAAAGGTAACATAATATTTATGTTTAACATACTCTTTTAATATTTGGTAAACAAAAATAATATTTGATCCTCTTTTTTAGTTATTGATCTTTAATTTTGTTCCCGCACCAACGCATCCAGCACCTAAGGTCAATTCGACCCGATAACGCAGTGTGAACGTGTTAAGTATGCTTTTTTAATAAAAAAAAATCTTTGAACATCAAGCGCCTTTAAATAGTTTCCATCCTTTGCTTTGACTACAACTTAATAAAAATAAGTACCATAACATAATTATTTTGAAGATTATTTGATATAGACAAAAAACAATTTATACAAATCGAATTATTTAAAAAAGTATCACAATATTGAATATTTGGTGCTCATTTCTTTTATTTTTGAGGACCAACAAGTAACGATCAGATATAATTTTTACATCTCAATTTTTTTTGCGTAGTTCAAAAGAGGTTAAAATATCGATCGATTTTATTTATTTTATGTCTCAAAGAAAGAGGATCAATCATTAAAATAGATGACCAAATAGATTTTTTTATTTGCCGTTTTCGCTAATTAAAAAAGATCATTTAAATACATGCCTATAACAATAAAAAAAAATAACTCAAAAAAGTATTTTAAATATACACTCGCGAGCAAAAGTATGGAATCACCCCATTCATTTTGAGTAATCTTTGTAGCTAAACGACTATAAAGATTAAATTAAAAATGGTACCAGTTTAAAGGTTACATTACAAACTTTAACTTGATACCATAGATGCATAGATAGTCATTGAGTTCTTCATATCGTTGGGAACAAAACACAAGAGGGTGATTCCATACTTTTGCTCGTAAGTATAGTTTGATAAAGTTATAGACGCTTCCCTTCGAGTGACGTCATATGGCCAGCGGCAAACTTAAAGCGAACGGATAGTAAAGAAATAGACAACACCCAATTAACTACTTACTGGCTACATGAGTAATTCTCAACACTATGGCAATTTTGCAAATAAGTATTGTTGACTACTGAACAAAGCTGTTTAGGCATTTAGCATAATTATGTTACTCCATTTTAACACTAAAAACAATCTTACGTCAGGCACCGTAGTGTTTGGTTCGTGGAAGTCGGACCACATCTTCCTCGGTATAACGACGACTGGGATGTCATGTGTGACGTGTCTTGTTTGCTGAGAAGTTGACGAAGGCTGGTGAACATGAAAAGATAATGGTTGCTACTTGGGTACTACTGGTAAAATGAGGGTTATGTCAGTTTGTCAATTTACAGTTCACATAAAAAGATTAAAATTTATTATAAGGATTTTTCACAAAAGAAAGAATTGTATCATTTGTCACAGGAAGAAAGATGCTGGATTTTTGTGAAAGTTTGTGGCAATTTGAAACCCCGTAAAACTTACTCGGAAACAATGTAAAAGTTATTGATCGGTTCTGTAGGGGTGTTAATGGGTCATTGTAAACATTGGGGTGATAATATAAAATACATGTAAATTAAGGTATAGGTAAATTCGCTATAAATAAATATAAACTCACCATTTCAATCTCTAAGGTTAGACACGGACATTGTTTCTTAGTGAGCTTCATTTTGAGGGTCTTAGCTGATTTTAAGGTCACCAGCGACCTAGCTAAATTTGCTGAAACATAACACAAAAATCAGTGTACAGATAAGCTAGACAGTTTAACAGAATGACAGATTAATATTCACATTAAGACTAGGCGCACACCATTGATTTTTCGTCGGCCGATAGTTTAGTCGGGCAGTTGATCAGTATGGGCATGTATGGGAGTGCGCACACTACGCCGATTCGATTTGGCCGATTCTTCATACAATTTGAAATCGGGCACAACTATCGGCCAACTAAAAATCAACGGTGTGCGCCTAGTCAAACCTGGACAGTTTAATAACACATTAATATTCATGAGTTTTAAGTTAACTTTTTAGAGTGAAATTAAGATGAAGATTTGAAAAATGGCAAATATTACCTGCTGCAAAGCCTAAATAAATGTCCTTATGTTCATCGTCCAAACCAACCATTTGATATTCAGAGAAAAACATTGTATGAGGTATCTCACACCACAGAATTGGTGGACCCGGGGCATTGCTATCATCGCTCACTATAAAATACAGTTTATCCTCGGCTATTCTCAACACACACTCCTTGGAAAGCTTTGATATAGTCGTTACTATGTCTGGAATACACAAAACGCAAATTAAAATGTGTTAAGCTAATGTGAAATTACAATCTCTAAATTTCGTTTTTACTTGCAAACTCCCTCATCGGCCCAGCGTCTATCATCACAGAACGGAACTTCATTTTGTTTAGTTATGATTAGCAGGACAAAATAAAAAAAAAATAAAGATTATTCAATTTAATTAACATTTACTAGTAAACAAGTTCGCGGGCAAAATTCCGCAAACGAGATGACAACCTAAAATTGACACTGACACATTTGACAGTAGACCATAGAGTTAGTGTTTTCTTTTTCTCGATAATGTTACCAGCTTATGACCATTTCTACTAACTCGCGTGATATCACTTCTAGCTAAAAAAAATACATAGGTCACGCGCCATTTCAACTCGATGAAACACTGTTTAAATTATTTAATTTTCATTTTTTTTTATGTCCACTAGCCTATTGTACTATGGAAGTCTTTATCAAATTATTCAATTAATAAAATTTAAGTGTTAATGAACAATTCAATTCAATTAAATTCATGTTCAGCTGCCATAATAATAATGTATAAAAAATGTAATTTTATTTAAAATATTACAATATTTTAAATAAAATAAAGATAGGCAAGGCAACAAAATTTAATAAGAAGATTCGTGATTCGAGGAACACTCTAGTTCGATCGAGTAGCATGGGTTGGCACCCGGGGCGATTTGCCCAACGCAATCATTTTTTTACTCAGATCTTCAATAGCAAAACTTCAGAGTGCATATTATATTTATTAGTCTATTATTCTCTATCTTTTATAATGCTGGATCTCCAACGCGAGTTTTGTTGAATATTATTGACCATTAGCGCTTATAGTAAAAGCGCTTTTTTAAAGCCTATTTGCAAAATTATATGAATTTTATGAATTTTAATTTATTTTTATTTATTTGTACATTGTGTAGTGTAAAATACGTGCTGGAGACCCGGCAAACAAAAAACATTGTTTCACTACACATTTTTGTTTACATCAACAATGTTTTTGCTTTCCATGCCTGATGGAGGAAAACATTCCTCCGTCTATGTGAATGAATAATACATATTTTGTGTTTAATTATTTTAGTTGAATGTTAATTGCGCCGGGCAAAAAACGCGCAAATGGAGAGTATAGTTCCAAAATACTGGACTGTCCTGTCGATGACATTGACAGTGGGGCGCCACCGTCAATACCGGATCGCTGGTTCAGATTTTTGCCATGTTGGAAACCATATAGTTGAACGATGGTAGCGCCCCCCTGTCATTGAGTTTGGCGGGACAGTTCAGCGTGGGTCATCTATAGCTTAATAGATAAAGAGAACCATTTAACATAGTCTCGTTTACTCAAAAAAGTATAAAACGTGCACGTCCTCCTCGTAGACTGCTCATGTATTTTATTGTAAAATAGTATAATTTCTGCACTTTTTTATGGCAACATTAACTAACCAGAGACAACTGTGTTACATCCCTTTCCTGCAAAGATGGCGCTGTAGTTACGTCAGCGTGGAAGCCATTGCTTAGTTATTTTGAATTTTTGTCTCGTTCTTTCAAAGCTATTTTACAATGGCCCAGACAAGAATAGACGATGATCCCCATTTGAGTCTAACGAATATTAACGAATCGTGAACATTAAAGTTTTATTTATTTTTACAAAATTGAATGTGCAATCTTAAGTATTTTACTCAATATTTGGTATGATATATTTTAACTAATTTATTTTTAAGTTTATTTCTACAAACAAACCGATTTTATGGAGAATAATGAAAGTGCAAGGTATGTATGTTGTCAAGTTGTCAATCAATAATGTCGTCAATACGGATGTTTTCTAACCAAAACTTAACGAATTGAGTCACTTGTGTGTTTTGTTTTCGTTGAAAAATATCCGTGGAGTGTTTGCAATAGCTTGTTACCCTTATTTTGTGGCTGATTAATGGTAGACATGGATTTAAGATCTCAGCTCTACAACACCGTTAGGGTAACGTTTTTCCTTCGAATTTGATCTTCGAATATTAACGGATTCTTTTTTAAAAGTTAATTAACGCTCAAATGTCAGTGTACAGGTTATGTAGAATGTAAACAAATGACTATTTTCAGCCAAACCTACATGTTATCAAGCTATCATCGAATAGTGCGTTATTTAGGGTCAATGCCGTTCTCGGACAAGAGCTTATGCAATATCGTGATTTTGATGCATTCAGAATACTGGGTTCTGCAGGTTTATTGATAAGTTTTATTCATCTCTAAAAACAGCTAAGAAATCATCCTGCTTTGCTATAAAAATACATTTGGTATTCAACTCTACGTCGCAATAGGTTATTTCCTCCTTCCTTGCGTTCTTTTCTCGCTTTCCATCGCTGCGCGGTCCGAATCTGTCTCTATACGTTTACCGTTTCTTTTCGTACCTATAGTATTTATAATTGCAAGAATGTACCTATAATAGTCTTGTTTACAATACTAATTGTAATTTAAAATAATATTGTAAATTAAAATTACAATTCGGCAATTTGGTTTCGCTTTCGATAACAGACTAAACAAGACAATTTTTACTTAACATTTAAAAACATTTTTACATAAATCCGAAAGCCTACGTCAAGTGATGCAATGCAAGATACAAAAAATATTTTTTATAAATCTTCAAACTTCAAGTCTATTGTAACTTTTATAGCGTAATTCGGACCGGACTGTGATTTAGGCTCGGAACAATAACTTTATTGTTCCGAGGATTTAGGTTAACGATGAATGGACAGAGCGTTCCATTTCATTCAATCTATGCCTACGATGCGATTTGATTACAAATCAAATTCTGTCTAATTCATTTTAAATAGGTAACTAACGCAGTCTGTTGTAATATGCTACGAAAACTGATGCTTGTTAAATGTAAAGTTTGTAAAAAGGTCCTGTGGTCCTATGTTTATATTGTGCCCTTAGCTGACCTTACCAGGGCCGTATTTAGTCTATTGGGGGCCCCTGGCATTTAATAATCAAGGGGGCTCTATCCCTCTAAAAAAATTGAATTGCCAATTTAAGACGGAGGTATCCGCGATTACGCTCAATTTTTAACACGCTTTTATTAGGTCGCTCTGTATGTAACTTTGTAATGGAATCTAGGAATCTGAATTACACGCACTTCTAATTCTTGTATCATCATGAAACTTGGCAATTATACAACGTGTCCCAAAATTCAAGGATAAGCCGGCGCCGCAGGATGGACATAGTCATGACTACTTTAGGAAAAATAAGGAAAAAAATCTATCTTAATTATTTTTAAAGTTACACAATAAATTACGAAATTCTTCGAAATTGACACCCCTTATGATATTTTACATTACCACGACCACCATTTTTCAAATATATCTGTTTTTTTGTTTGTATCGGCAACTTAAGTAGTGCTGCTGTCCACACCATCTCTTAAAAACCCCCAGAATCCTTGCAGTTTTTACACAAAAATTAATCAAAATATGTTATTTCCTTAAAATTTTGAACGATTTTTACTTTCACTCCACTTTGACTTATCGTTTTGTAAAAAAAAAGTATGAACACTACTGCGGCAAGTTGTTTATAAAGTTGACGCAACTATCCAAGATTCCAAAATGGTATAATACTCTAAGAAACCTAGTCGCAAAAAAAATATACGTACCATTTTTACAAGCACTTCGCTTGTTAGTTAGTATGGGATAAATCTTGCAACTGAATTTAAAACCAGTTCTCCTCAACCGATTGGGCTGAAATTTGGTATACTTATGTAAGTACGATCCCACCATAAACATTCTGTAAAAAATTNTTTCAAACGAAGTCAAGCTTATTTTTCAAAAAAGTTTTTTTTTTATTAAAACTTTATTTTAAACTTTTTAGTTGTTTCTCAATCTCATGGCCCAAGTGCTCGGGAAGACAAATCCAACGAACCCAAACTCGATAAGCTTCCGCCGTTTCGTTTAGGAGTTCCTATAGCCAGCTCCTGCCACCTCTTGACTTCATCATCAGGACCCTGGACATCATCTAGCACGAAAGTGCTCGAAAAGACAAGTCCAACGAACCCAAACTAGATGCAATTCCGCCGTTTCGTTAAGAGTTCCTATAGCCACTTCCAGACTCCATCCAGCTCAATGGTACCATAATATTGCATTGTCATCGTACTTACACAAGTATACCAAATTTCAGCTCAATTGGTTAAGGAGAACTGGTTTTTAATTCAGTTGCAAGATTTATCCCATATTTACTAACAAGCGAAGTACTTGTAAAAATGGTACGCATATCTTTTTTGCGACTAGCTTTCTTAGAGTATTATACCATTTTGGAATCTTGGATAGTTGCGTCAACTTTATAAACAACTTGCCGCAGTAGTATTCATACTTTTTTTTTTACAAAACGATGAGTCAAAGTGGAGTGTAAGTAAAAATTGTTCAAAATTTTAAGGAAATAACATATTTTGATTAACCATTGTGTAAAAACTGCAAGGATTCTGGGGGTTTTAAGAGTTGGGGTGGACAGCAGCACTACTTAAGTTGCCGATATAAACAGAAAAACAGGAATATTTGAAAAACGTCGTGGTAATGTAAAATATCATAAGGGGTGTCAATTTTCTTCGAATTTCATAATTTATTGTGTAAGTTAAAAAATAATTGAGATAGATTTTTTTCCTTATTTTTCCTAAAGTAGTCATGACTATGTCCATCCTGTGGCGTCGGCTTATCCTTGAATTTTGGGACACGTTGTATGTAAATTAGATGACTATGCAATATTATGGTACCAACGAGCTGGTCTGATGATGACCATAGGAACTCCTAAACGAAACGGCGTAATCTCATCGAGTTTGGGCTCGTTGGATTTGTCTTTTCGATCACATTAGTGCTAGATGATGTCCAGGGTCCTGATGATGCAGACGGGAGAAGGCAATATGAACTCTAAACTAAGAGGGTATTTTTTTAAAACTATTAATTATTGTATTATTTCTTAGGTTACTGTTAAAATATTTTATAGAACAAACCTAAAATTAATTACCTATCGATCGGGGGATAAGAGCAGTGACCAGTGGGAGACAGGCAAGGCACCCAACATTTGGTAATCCATTATGTCTGAAAACTATTCCACCAATTTTACTAGACCTGTGTACGTAACTGCTACAACTACTACCTAATAGGTATTAAAAAATATATTTTAATAAGTTTTCGATTCTTTATGTTCTCTGAGTTCTGATCTCATCTTGTAAGAAGATCCTGAAGGCTGAAGACGTAGTAAGTCTTCCTCTTGGGTCTTGTTGTGTCCAAAGTAATTTGAGTTTCAGACCTATACCATTCCAATAACTCCTTTTTAGTTAGGCATTACTGGATTTGTAAATAGGAAGTCTAAATTCGGGGGCTCTACGGGACAAAAATGTTCATCGAAAAAAGGCAATTTGTAAAGTGACCCGGACCGATCTAGTTGCTACTAATAGCTACAAGAACAAAGTCCATTGTCTCGGACCTTCCACGTTACTTCTATTAAACTACCATAGCTTAGCAGTCGGAACTCTACACATTCGCTTCTTGTCAAGGACTCTTAGAGACGATGCTCATAAACTCAACTCTGATACTAGGTTACAAGTTAGTGCTCATAATAAGGGTTTACTTGAAATCCTTAACTGTTCTTAAGATTTAAGGTATATTCACAGTGGCAAGGTACGTGACGTGCGTGGCTCTTGCGATATTTGTATCAATCAGTCAATTTAAATATCAAAATTCGTCACCGTTTGACAGCTCATAAAAAGTATGTCAATTGACTAGTGATTTTGATAACTACCTTATTATGAGAACCAAACTTTTGTGGTATGCAGTTTTACCTGCTCGCTGTGCAACCTCGGTAAATAAGTATTTCATACGCATTTCCACTGAAATCTACACTTTTGTTACAGCATGGAGGATGAAAACACCAAGTCATATCTACAGTTGCAAATTGAAAAGCTAAAAGCTTTGAGAGCCAAGCTAACCACTGATGCAGAGGAAGATTTTATTATTAAAGCTGAACCGTAAGTACTTATTAATAACCGTACCAAGTATTTGATTTTCGGAGTTCGGCAAGATTATTAAATGGTGTTTTAAGTTAAATTATTGTTTAAATCTTGTGAATTATCAATATACCACTTGTGAGAATGCTCTTCTTCTTCGTTTCGCTCTTGGCAGAGCGGTCGTGGCCACGTTGAGGCGTTGTTCACATCGGTTGTAGAGGCGAATACAACTCTCCGCATGCCTTGCCTTCTCCCTCTGTTGGCAGATTGTCTGGTGCAGTCACAAACACTCTACTGGTTACTAAATAATACTGGCTATCTATTCCCTAGAGAAAGCAACGCTTCGATGATTTGTTATTTAATAATCACCTAACAAAACTTAATCGATCAAATCATCAGAACCTTACTTACCTATCAAATTCATAATGATTTCATCGTGAGTCCCTTGGGTATCAAGATGTTACAGACCCGAAAAGGAAGTTAGGAAGCGTCTTGTCGGAAAATTAGTCTGTCGTACGTACCTACTAGGGCTCTATTATACGTCATACCTCTGAGACCTGAGAGTGATATCCCCCAGGACCTTAGTGGAACAAAGTCGCAAGATATAGAGTTCGCACGGACTGGAAGCAAACGCTGATGCTGCCTAATTAATATCGTTTGATATTTCAAAGTTATCAGATAGTTCACAGTCTGAAGATGACGTCATACGGGCAAGCCGCGTCTTATTACCTAATTAGATAAAGAAAGAACATTAATAATAAATTATATCAGCTGTCATTCTCATTCATCATGCTGAAGTAAAAAGTTAATTGTGTTAGTCGGTTTTTCGGTCGGATTTCAAACTCTAGGATAAGTTATTTTTCAGTTGGTAATACTGGCTGGACAAAGATACATTATCTGATTTAGAAAAACCTTCAAGATTCTTCTGGATGCCCTAAATATTGTAATTTGAGCTCTTTGAAGAAACAATTTCACCCATTGCCCGACCCCGGAATTGAACCATGGTCGTCAGAGCTACTAAAACCGGTATCCAAACCACAGAGCCATTGAATTCCAACGAGACAAGATAATTGTGGCAGCTGGATAATGAATTATTGAACAATATGTTTAATCAATTTAAATTTTATGGAAGTTCTTTTGGTAGCCGCGCCTTGGTATTTTTTTGGTCCCAATAGTCCTTGATTTTCACAGAAGGAAAACCCCACGATTACGAACGAGTTTTATTTTCTTTAATCTCTTGCCTAAACGCAGTGAAAATGAGTTTGCAAGATATTTCGGCATGTTATAATCCCTACAGTAACTCAGTTTCTCTACGCTTTTTTCACACCTCAACCATTGAACCGAGTTTGATGTTTGGTATAGAGATTCGGTATAAGACGTATAGTCCCGGGAAAGGACATAGGAAAAAAGATACCCAAAAGAGGGCAACAACATAAGATAGAAGTCGTAATTGCTGGCTATCCATCTGTCTTTCTTTATAATCAACAAAATTGAATCTCTCTCGTAAAAATTCAGTAAAAAATATGACGCGGTTTCTATTAACCACCTTGAGGTCCATCCTTCTTTTATAAAAACAAAAACCTGTCGCAAATAGCCGAACGTGCCCAAGGATTCTCTCATGCATCCTAGTAATAAACCGTACTATTAAAACTCTGGAATCCTTCGACTTACGAGGGGGGCAGGACGGGGGACCGCGTTGCTTGCGCTCAGTTCGCGCGGCTTTCAGTCCGGCCCCGCGCGCGTTAGGCATAGTCGTGATTCACTTGCGTTCGTCGCACAGTGGTCTGAAAATGAAGCTCCCATACCATAGAAACTTAATGTCAGAAATTAATAAATAAAAATATGTATAGTGTTTAGTATACCTCCCTTTGTTTTACTAATATAGTATGAAGGGTATGAGTAGCTCCATGTGTGAGAAAAAAAATATTTTAATTTTTTTTGTATGGAAAAAAACACTTAAGGTGGATTTTTTAAAAACTGAATAGAACTGAAGGGCTGGTACTCACATGAGCTATTGCACCATACATGGCGATCAAGATGACATACAATTCTTGTGCCGTTGGGTGCCGCTTTGCACGTAGCAAGCTTTGGAAATTTTGAATTTTCGGTAGGTGATCTTTCAAGTCTTTGATGTTATTTTATGAAGTTATTAACCGCTTTCAATACGAGAATAATGTGTAAATTAATACTCATATACTAGGAATATACTAGGGATATTTTTAAATAATTTTTATTTTGAAAATATAAAAAAATAAAAAGTTTAATCATTGAATGAAGTAACCAACCAGTTGGTTGACATTGTTGTTAGTTACTAACCTGCTACTAGTTACTAACCACTGACATTATTATTAGTTACTAACCTGCTAATGACGTTTGAATGAAAATAATAGAAATCAACATTGATTAAATAAACAACCTTAAAAAGTTCGATTTTTAACTTCAAAAACTAAACAAATCGCTGCGTAGAGATGTATCCTCACTGTGCATCTTCTATCGCATGTATCACGGGGAGTGCTCCGAAGAATTATCCGGACTTATTCCTGCCGCCACTTTTCGCCACCGATCTACCCGACAGCACTTCCACCCCCATCACTTAGATGGTTGGCAGTCCACAACAGTACGTTTCTCTAGAAACTTCCTGCCCCGTACAACCAAACTGTGGAATGGACTGTCGTCTGCGGTGTTTCCGGACGGATACGACCTGCAAGCTTTCAAGAGGAGAGCGTATCTTTACCTTAAAGGCCGGCAACGCACCTGTAACGCCCCTGGGTCTGCGGGTGTCTATGGGCGACGGTAATCACTTACCATCAGGTGATCCGTCTGCTCGTTTGCCTCCTATCACATAAAAAAAAAAAAAAAAATCGAACTGCCTAATATGCCAATAGAACTACATTTAACTTAAAAAATCGAACTGCCTAATAGGCCAATAGAATTACATTTCAAATCGGAAATAATTCCTACAAAAGATTTTATTGTTTTAAGGGCTTCATTTGTTACCCATTAAGACTATCCTAAATGGCAATGCCAGATTTTGTATGGAAGGTGGCGTCTTTTTTTTTTCGCGCTGCTATCGACCAAACTTTGTTTTTTGATTACAAAATATTGTAATAAACCAAACTTACTATGACATGTATACCTCTAAACTCAGTCTGAACTGAGTTACGAGCGTTAGAAGTTTGAAGATTTACATACTAGATTTGCTTTTTGCGCGCAAGTTTTGTAAGAAATTGCAACAAAAAGAAACGCCAATTTCCGGCATTGTCATTTTCGACTTCGACGGAGTTGTGCTTAAGTGGTGGGGCCCCCGAAAAGGGCGTTTTTTCGGTTTTACGGTTATATCGCGTAAAGGACTTACCCTATCAAAAACTGGTCTTCATGACGGTTGAAGGGCATTAAAATTTAATCCTGCATTGAATGAGACTAAATTCATATGGTTTGGACAAATCGTTCACGTGCTTATCTTCGAAAAAGTACAAAATGTACGTATAATTAATGAACCTCTACGTCCAATGGCTCGTCACTCGCAGGCTCTAAAGCCTTGTAAAGGGCCGACTCAACCAGTTTAACCCTGTCAAGGCTTAAGAGCTGGATGTACCTATTCTTGTTCGTCCCAGCCATTCCTTAACTGCGGTTACTGCACCTCTTCCTTGCACTCTCCTGAACAACTCTGTGTTACCAGGCATCGATTAGGCAACGGTATCGAATGGCTGGGACGAACAAGGATAGGCGCATCCAGCTCGTAAGCCTTGACAGGGTTACACTGGTTGAGGCGGTCCTTTTCAAAACTTGGAATCCTGCGGGTATCGAGCCATTGGACGTGGAGAGGATAATTAATTATACGTACATTTTGTACTTTTTCGAAGATAAGCACGAGAACGGTTTGTCCAAAACATATGAATTTAGTCTTATTAAATGCCCTTCAACCGTCATGAAGACCAGTTTTTGATAGGGTAAGTCCTTTACGCGATATAACCGTAAAACCGAAAAAACGCCCCTTTCGGGGGCCCCCACCACTTAAGCACAACTCCGTCGAAGTCGAAAATTTAGGATAGTCTTAATGGGTAACAAATGAAGCCATTAAAACAATAAAATCTTTTGTAGGAATTATTTCCGATTTCAAATGTAATTCTATTGGCCTATTAGGCACTTCGATTTTTTAAGTTGTTTATTTAATCAATATTTATTTATATTATTTTCATTAAAACGACATTAGCAGGTTAGTAACTAATAACAATGTCAGTGGTTAGTAACTAGTAGCAGGTTAGTAACTAATAACAATGCCAACCAACTGGTTGGTTACTTCATTCAATGATTAAACTTTTTATTTTTTTATATTTTCAAAATAAAAATTATTTAAAAATATCCCTAGTATATTCCTAGTTATATGAGTATTAATTTACATACTATTCTCGTATTGAAAGCGGTTAATAACTTCATAAAATAACATCAAAGACTTGAAAGATCACCTACCGAAAATTCAAAATTTCCAAAGCTTGCTACGTGCAAAGCGGCACCCAACGGCACAAGAATTGTATGTCATCTTGATCGCCATGTATGGTGCAATAGCTCATGTGAGTACCAGCCCTTCAGTTCTATTCAGTTTTAAAAAAATCCACTTTAAGTGTTTTTTTCCATACAAAAAAAATTAAAATATTTTTTTTCTCACACATGGAGCTACTCATACCCTTCATACTATATTAGTAAAACAAAGGGAGGTATACTAAACACAATGCATATTTTTATTTATTAATTTCTGACATTAAGTTTCTATGGTATGGGAGCTTCATTTTCAGACCACTGTGCGTCGCCGAAAAAAATAAAATAAAAAAAAAACATTTCGCGGTTAGTTTTGCACTTTTGTAGGTTATGTCGTAGTAAAATGTTTCAAGGACAGTCAAAGTGATTTGGAAGTTCAACGATGATTTTAAGGTCAATTAGTAGGGGTGGTTTGTTTTGTCATCGCGCCCTTTGATTGTTGTGAGCGATGCAATATCAAAGTAATGAGGACGACGACTTGCAAT